GATGCCATCTAGGAGGGATGAACAAAATCTGTCAAGTCATTTGGAGTAGGGCCCTCCCTCCTGCTTCTAGGTTAAGGGAGTATCCCTCCATGGGGGATGTGCTCCCAAAGTCCTTTTGTGCACCAGGGATATATTCTGGTGCCACTGTCAGGGGTCCCTTAGACTGTCCAGGCCCTCTAACTGAGACCCATGTTCAGGGGGTCTGAGTCAGTCCAATGCTGGATTCCCAGCTATCAGTCTGGAGGTCTATTAGCTCCCCCTTGTTCAAGTTAGCTGTCTCTGTGGGTTTCTGTATCCTGCTCTTGTCCCCATTTCCTTATCACTCCTTCCTCTCTGCATTTGGATTCCAGTTCAGCTCAGTGTTTAGCCTTGGGTATCTGCTTCTATTTCCATCAGTTACTAGATGAGGGCTCCATGATAGTAGGTAAATTAGTCATCGATCTCATTATCAGGAAAGGGCATTTAAGGTAGCCTTTCCACTGTTGCTCAGATTGTTTACATGTTAATTTAAAAAATTCATTTTAAGAATAAATAAAAAATAAACTAGGTAATAGTTATGAGACATAGCCACAGGGTTGGTGCATCATCCATCAATATGTTTTATTAAGTTTATACTTCATAAATTTTAAGGAGTTTAGCAGTTACATGGTCCAAGCTTGAATTCAGTCTATTTGTTTCCCACTACAAACTGGCAAACTGGTGAACAGAAAAAAACCTGAACTAATCTAGGCAAAGAAAAAAGAAAAGTAACAGTAAATCCTTTAGTTATTTTGTAAATGAAAGTGTCCCTAGTGCCTGGGTAATCTTAACCATCAATCCACACTAAGCATGAGATGGCAGTTCTTTCAAGTGATTCCTGGGGTTGACTGCTCTCCAGAGAGCAGCAGCTGTGCTTGGATGGCATGATAAATGATGGCAAAGGTCAAACAAGGCTACAGTTTGCCAGAAACAACACATGTAAGGCTGAGGGCAATCTCTCACTGGTTATCTCTTCCTTTTGCCGCTTTTAGGCCAGCTTATTTGTATTCTCCTATGTCTTGCTTTGGAAATTATTTTTCTGATATAGCCATCAAGGAAACAGACAGATGACTCTTCTCTTTATGTGCTACAAATTATCATATTTTGGGGTATTTTTAAGCCAATCAGTTCTTTCATCAAAGTGAAATAAAAATATTCAGGAGGATTTACACATTTGGATTTTATATTAATTTCTATTTTCCTTTTATAGGAAATGGCCTATATGAGTACATGTTTTGTAAGAGCTTGTTAAAATTCATTTAGCAATGCCTAAGCCTAGCATTCACTCTATATTCTTGCTATCAAGTTCTAAACATGTTAAGACTCTACAACATGAACTTTATGGAAGTCACATAGGGTCAGAGCACACTGTATACTATTGCATTCCAGTCACTCCATTAATAGCTACTAAGCAGAGAGGGGAGGCACTTGGAACAAGCACTGAATCAGTATACTTGAGCCTGTTTAAAGATAACATATCTATGCTGGGAAACCAGCATAGGATCATCCAGACCCCTGAATATGGGTGTTAGTTGGGAGGACTAGACAGTCTATGGGGCCTCTGGAGATGGATCAGTATATATCCCTAGTACATGAATGGACTTTGGGAGTCCATTCCACATAGAGGAATACTCTCTCAGCCTAGACACACAGGGGAAGGCCTGGGCCCTGCTCCAAATGATATGACAGACTTTGAAGATTCCCCATGGAAGGTCTCACCCTCCCTGGGGAGCATAAAGGGAATAGGATAGGGGTTGGTAGAGGGAACAGGAGGGTGTGGGAACTGGGATTGACATGTAAAACAAGCTTGTTTCAAATTTAAAAAAAAAATTTCAAATTTAAAAAAAATCAAAGCAAAAGATTAGTTTTCTATAAAAAAAAAAGATAACATGTTTTAACAACTTTACACAATACAAGTAATTTTCACAGTACTGGGATGCTTTTAAAGATACTGGGTAATGCTCAAAATGCCTTGACAATCTATAAATTTGAGAAAGGGAGTGAGGGGACAAGGAAGAAAAGAAGGGAAAAGGCAGAATGGAAAAGAGGAAGGGAACAAAGAGATTTCTTTATTATTGATGGCTTACCTATATCTATATTCTTATCATATGTTAAAGCACAAGTTTTCTTCCTTATTTCAGTTGAATTTGGAGTTTGAACTGGGCCATTAACACTAACAAGAGAAGGTTTCCTCACAGTTTACTGGAAAAACTCCTTACTCAGATTCATTTCATTGCCGTTGGAAGTCATTGAAATAGTCATCCAAATACTATCATGTGGTGTGAAATGGTATGTTCTTCTGTACACTGTGAATATCTGTTGTTCCCATTGGTTAAGAAGTAAAGCACAGTACAGCCCAACAGGAAATCCAAAATAAATACACAGAAGAAGAAGGGTGAACCTAGAGAAATGTGAGTTGTCTTCAACAGCCTAAAGAGAAACATGCCTGAACAGAGGCAACTCCATGGCCGTGTGGCAATATACAGATTAGTAGAAATGGGTTAATTTATAAGAGAGAGCTAGCCATTAATAAGCCTGAGCCATCAGCCAAGCAATTACGTTTAATATAAACTTCTGAGTCATTATTTCATAAGTGGTTATGGGGACTGGTAGCTAGTAGAAAAACCAGTCCAGCAGGAACAGACAAGACAGAAAAAAACATTCAGCTATAGTGATACTCATGTATATCACATATACATCATATAATGTATGTGAGTATGTATATATAATATATATGGTACAATACTATATATGATAGACAAAGCTTTCATATCATCATGGACTTAATCAATGGATCTTAGATTATGGCTTGTCTGCACCACTTAATGCTATAGTAGCGACATAGATGTCTATGTCCATGTCTCAATTCCATTATTTGTAAAATAAACACTGAGGTATGAACTCTATCATACAATTGTAATAGTTTAAAAAGGTGAAATGTGTAATTATTTAAAAAACATAATTCTAATCAGCTACCCTTTAAAAACAGCCAGTATTCACACAACAATGTGTTAGTAACTGGAGGTACATGAAATTCATCCTGCAGCAGTTATTTCTATTTTTTTATTATTTAAATTTGAAAGAAGCTTGTTTTACTTGTTTTACATGTCAATCCCAGTTCCCTCTCCCTCTCCTCCTCCCCTGTATCCATCCCATCCCCTTTCTGCTCCCCAGGGAGCAGACTTCAATGGGGAGTCTTCAAAGTCTGTCACATCATTTGGAGCACAGCCCAGGCCTTCCCCCATGTATCTAGGCTGAGAGAGTATCCCTCTATGTGCTCCCAAATGAGCTCCCAAAGTTCATTTGTACACTAGGGATAAATACTGATCCACCACCAGAGTCCCCATAGACTGCCCACGCCTCCTAAATAACATCCACATTCAGGGGGTCTGGCTGAGTTTCCTAGCTATCAGACTGGGGTGCATGATCTTCCCCTAGTTCAGGTCTGCAGTTTCTGTGGGTTCAGAACACTAAAAGACAAGTGGTAAAGGATCAGTGGTAATCTGACTTTGCTGGCTCATAAACACAGTGTTGTGGAGTTTACCTATCAGTTGAGGAAGTCACAGCAAGATTCTTTAAAAGACTCCATATTTTAAAAGCATTTGGGATAAACAGGGTATAGCATGAAGGCTTACAAGCAAATAAATATTCAGTAAATGAAATGTAGGAAGAGGCCCTGAAAGACATTGGCTGTCAAGGGCTTTGTACTTAGCCCTTTCTGAAGAAGTCCAGAATAGCCTTTTTAAAGAAATAGAATTATAATTAGGGAGTCATAATATAGTATCAGAAAATATAATTCATTTCCCAGGTCTTTGAAGGAAGATGAAAGAATGGTTATCATTTTAAGGGCTAATGAAAGTTTAAGTGATCCTTTACAGGGAATGGAAGGAGAAATGAAAACAGGTATATACAGGAAATATTTAAGGAATTATCCCCTACTAACCATTCAATAGCCTATTGGCATTGTTTCAGGTTTCTATTTTGCTGACTCATTACCAAAGAATCACATCTTGATTGTTAAGGCAATAATAGATAGCATGTGTTCCTGGATTAAGATCCTACACATTAGTCATGCTCCCACATGGTAGGCTTATCCACACAAAGATATAGCTGCACTGAGAGGTGAGGTTACATCCTGTCCTTGATATTTCATAAGTGGTGTAGTAATGAGCTAGTAAAAAGAGACAGGCAGAAATAATTTCCCAAACAAAAAAAAAAAAAAAAAAAAAACATCAAGTTAAAGTGTTTAGCAGGTTTTGAACTTTGAGGATCCTGATAGCATCATAATATTGAGAAACTATTGGTGATAAATTATTTATATTTTATTAATACTTGTCTGAGGGGTACAGAAAGCAAAGATAGCCATGAGCCATAGAGGTCAGACAATGGTGATATACACCTTTAATCTCAGAAGTCATACTAGCAAGCCATATAGGCAGGCAGTGGTGGCACACACAGAATCCCAGGACTCAGGAGATTGGTAGATGGATCTGAGTTCAAAACCACCATGGTCTACACAAAAGTAAAGAGTAGCAGAGCTCAAACCTTTCATCCCAGCACTTGGGATCACATACCTGTAATCCCAGCACTGGGGTGGTAGAGACAGGAGTGATATGGATGGGCATAGAAAAGAATACAAGGAAGAGGAGACAGGAACTCAGAACTTATGCCTCTAAGGATTCATGGAAACAGGATTGCATTTTCAGCTTGGTAGAGGTAAGATCTACTGGCTTGGCTTGCTTTGCTTCTCTTATCTTCAGTTTAAAGCTCGAACCACTGTATCTATCTCTGGGTCCTTTAATTTTTATGCCATAAACTTTACAAGCTAAGACACTCCTGTTCAGTTTTAAATGAAAGTTGCAGCATTTCCTCTGCGTTGTAGCATCAGGCTGTATTTTGGTTACATTATGCACAGTATTACATTTTCAGTTCTAAGCCAGGGAATGCTGTTACATGAAACAACTGTGGCAAAGGTTACTTACATGATCTGTGGTTAGTGCAGCACATGGGTGAAAATGATCAAAGCAAATGTCACCCTGTCTCACAGAACATAAATACTTCTCTAGATCATTGTATCTCTCTCCATAGAGCACTGAAAGGGGGAAGAGATATTTTCCAATTTACTAGAAATGAGATGATCAGTGGAATAACTTTAAAGCAAAATAGCCAAACCAAACAAAAACAAGAGCATACATACCAAGTCTAACATTGTATGACTGTCTGGCTTGCATTTGGTCTTTGTGATGACTGCCACGGGAGCCAGCATTTCTTTTGGTAGAAGTTATTTTTCCCATTTCACTGTCTACTTGTTTCCAGTACCGCTTTACTGACTGGAGCCACCTTTAAAAATAGACACATTACTTGTGATTTTAATCAGTAATGTTCCAAATCTTTCATGTTTTAAAAGCTTGGTCCCCAGTCTTTTGTGTTATTTTGAAATTTGGGGAGTCATTAGAAACTGCATAACAGAACTCAGTAACTAGCAGTGAGACTTGGAAGAGTAATTGATAATCAACATTAGTCATCACAAAGGTGATACTAGCCACTGGTTCTTATCTAGTTCTTTCTGCTTCCTGTCTGTTGCCATGTGAACAAGCTGATACCTTAGGCTCCCACTTCCATGGATGAATCCTCCTCTTCTTGCCTTTCCCATTGTGATGGGTTGAAATATTTCTATAACCATGAGTCTAAATAAGGCTATACCTCTCTTTTCTTAAAGATTTTTGGTCAAATCAACACAAGTTATTCATTATTCAAGTAGAAAAAAATAACTAACATGATGAATTAAATAATGAAATTAAAAAAAACTTCATGTGTCTTAAAATTTTCACAGAAGGGAATTAGTTCTAGGGCCACATAAACTGAAATAAAATTTTGGCTTCCTTACTATTAACTCTAAATCCTTCCTGAATCATTTAATATTTCTATGCCTGTCTTTCATGTTTTAAAAAAATCAATAGAATAGTAATAGTGCTATTATCTAATAATAATGCAAGTAATAGTACATCAAATATTGTGATATTTAAGAAAAATTACTATATGCAAAGTACTTAGGAAGAAGTAGGACACATGGGAGATACTACAGGATATGATGTTATCAGTAGTTAATATTCAAGACCAATGACAAGATGTGTGGCTTTCAACTAATAAATTTGCCTCATGTCTAAACAAATATATTTACAAAATGAGATAATCTTGTAATCTATGGCTAGATGTATCATTCTATCACCTTGATTTTTCTTTCCTAGTAAATAGGGGTTGGGAAAAAAAGAGGACTATGCAGCTATCATTTTATTTTTTAGCTATGACATAATACCATTCAACTGCAAAACTAACCCTAGGGAAGCTGGGTATTTCTTTGTAGAGAGAAACCAAGACTTACCATAAAGACTAAACAGACAGTAGCTTGAACATTCATAGAATGCTATGAGTTAATCAGAAATTGAGGTAATTCTAAAGCCCATAAAGGATTACAAAATTCAAAATTTCAAAATAGATAAATAAACCCTAATCCATACTCAGTAAGATGCTGAGGGTTGCTTATGGTAGCTGAAAGTGCCAAGAAGGGACATCGGATCATGACAAGAAGATGCTCCCAGATTTCTGCTCCAATTTCTCCACCAAGACAATGAACCTATAAAAGAAAAGAATGTTTTCAATTGACAGGATAGTTTTAAGAATGGCAAATTAAAATAATATGTGGAATCTTAAATTGGTCACAGGTATCTCCCACCAATTAATGACCCCCTACGACGTTAAAAGAATTATTGGAAAAGTGAAGACTGAATTTTCCTTAACGTTTTTAACCAATCTACCTGTGACTTTTATTTTTCTTTCAAAGCTTTCAGGCTTATGTATTTCTTGCCATGTCTACTGACAATCAAAGTACCACATCTCAGTACAATACTTTTGAGACTATTGCCCTAATTGGGTACCTGCAATCTTGACATCACAGACAAAATGATATGCTTCAAAGATAAGCAGTCATGTCACTAGTTTTCCTGTTCTTTGTAGAACAAATGTAGTGAGATATTCTCTTTGTCTCCTGCTGTGGCATTGACCATGCCCATTGGGAGGTGGAGCTATGGGCAGAAGTGACCTATGGAAGGAGGTCTGAGGAAGAGCCAGGGAACGCTCTCTTGCTGGCTGGACTCGGACAGGAGAGCATCCGGTGGAATTTGCTTGTGTTCATCTGTCTAAGTTGTAAGTTATTTTTCCCTGAATAAACATCTATTCGGCCTATTTGTTTATCCTGATCCTTATTTAACCACAACATCTGGTGTCAGAAGCGGGATTAGGATTTTCACAGGATCTGGGTTTCACCCAGGCAGCAGATGCCTTTCCCCTCCCCTACCATCCCCAACGGGCAGGGTTCCTTGCCTAACCAGGTGGAATCACCACAGCTTTGGGACATTTGCCTCTGCCCTACAACTCCTTTAACTCCACAGTGGGCCTAAGAAGGTGCTCCCTGCTTCTCATTTTTGCCCATTTCTGCACTTTGCATTCCCACAGAGCCACTTGGCACCCACCCTGCTTGTGTGTTTCCCAAGATTAGCCCTGCGGTCCCAACATTTCCACAAGGCTCCTTTTACTCATTTGTCTAACAAAATTTAGCTTGCCATAGTTTGTTAAGAGCTATTCTACAGGGACTGGGATCAGAAGGATCGTCTACTGCCAGACGATATTTGTCTGTACACTTCCTGACACTATTTGGTGGTACACCTCCAGGCTAACTACCACAAGTTGAGATCTACAACTAAAAGCATCAAAGTCCCAGGACAGCAGAATTACACCTAAGGTAATTGTAACATCCTTTGCAATTTAAGCTGATATAATATCTGAGATCAATTGTTCCATACCTATGGCAGATAATTTTACAATGCAGAACTTTAGAAATTATTTTACTTCATATATAGAAGGAATTTTAGCAGAAGAAAATTATGACTGGACCAATATGTACATTTATTTTGTAATAGCAATGGGTTTCATCATTAACATGATATTCTTAAAGAAATGGTTTGAGATTACAGCAAACAATAAAGAACTTGTACAAATCATAGGAGAATTAGTAACAAGGATTCAAAACATTAAAAAGAATAGAATTCAAAACATAGAATGCTTAGAAAAAAAGGTTCAGAATATTGAAGATGGCATTGGAGAGCTGACAGGTAGAATACAAATCGTGGAACATAAAAATGACCAAGTAGAAAACAGAATTTGTTCCTTGTCTGATGCCTCAATAACCAGAAAAGAAACAATGCAATGCATTAACACTTTAGCAGAAACAGCTCGTTCCTGGTCGGAGGAAGCTACTAATAAGTTTAAAAAACTGGAACATCAGATAGAAAGACTAGATGATAGAATCTCTTCCATGTCTGAGGATAAAAGCAAGCTCGCAGATAGAACATTGTTTCTGGAAGGCAGTTTATATGCCATTCAGATAATATCTAAGGATGAAAATATTAAAAACATGGAATCATTTGTAGTTGGAGGAAGTAAGAAACTGACTGATGCAATGAAGTCTCTAGAAAGTTATTTGATTCCAGAAGTTCAGACACGCAAAGAAACAATGGTGAATAGATTTCAGGCTTTAGAAGACCTTCAGTCTGATACATCAGAAGATCTAAAGGTAACAGGGCATGAAAAAGACTTAAAATTTTCCACACCAGTTAGGGTCAGGGGGGCTTTTCCTGTATCTATTAATGAAAAAACACCCAAAAGGTGGCATTGCATATCAGTGGGAACCAATACGTATGAAAGATTTAAAAGGTATAAAGGAAGCAGTAGACTCTTATGGCATGCACTCACCATATGTGAAACAATTAGTAGAATCATGGGCAAGGAATAACAAGGTAACCCCTAAGGATTGGGAATCAATTAATATCAGCTGTTCTTGAAAACTACTCTCAATTAGAATGGAGGGCTTTATACAGGGAAGAAGAGAAGCTCTTGAACTTCAGGGCTTAAAGAAAAGTTATAAAGCTCCCCAAGATAAAATTCTTGGTGAGGGTCTTTATGCTGACCCAGAAACCCAAGCTGCCTATGATGAACATATCTTGTCTCTATGCAGTACAGCAGCTCTGAATGCTTAGGATAAGGTTCATAAATTAGGGGAGAGGACCTATACCAAGATAAGGCAAAGACCTAGAGAACGCTTTAGTGTGTTTCCAGAAAGATTATCTAGGGCAGTAAAATTAGAGGTAGCAGACATAGATTCTGAGGCGAATACTCATAGAAACTTTAGCTTATGACAATGTGAATCCTCAATGCAAACAGGTACTTCGGCCTTTAAAAATGTGATCAGCAACCTTGGACGAATGGGTCCTATATACAGCCAACATTGAGTATAATGACAATAAGACTGAAGCATGGGTAGGAGAAGCCATATCTAAAGGTCTGAGAAGACATCAAGATAACAGAGTTCTTAACTATGGTGACTTAGAAGCTTGGGTAGGAGAAGCCATCTCCAAAGGTTTGAAGAGATATCAACATGACAGATGTTATAACTGTGGTAACATAGGACATCTAAAAAGAAATTGTAGGCAAAGCTTCCCTAGAAATAACAACCCCAGGAATGAATCAAACAGAAGGCCTCAGCCTCCTGGGTTATGTAGAAGTTGTGGCAAAGGCAGACACTGGACAAATGAGTGTAGATCGACCAGAGACAAGCAAGGAAACCCTTTACTACCGGGAAACTCCTTTGGGGGGCTTCTCCAAGGCCCCCATGTCACAGGTGGTCTAAACATTCCCAGTCACAATGGAGGACAATCTCCCACAGGACAATTAGAAAATCCTGTGCCTATTATTAAAACTCATACCGCTCTGGATGACAAACGAGTGATGAAAGTTGAATCAAACATCACAGAAGGAAATAAAAAACGTATATTTTGGCAAACCTCTATAAGTAGTCAAAGGCCTTGATTGATTGTTAAGATGAATAATAGACTGATGGATTACTTGACACAGGAGTGGATGTAACTATCATAACTAATAAATCTTGGCCTCGAAGATAGCCCCTGCATGAGGTAAATGTTCAGTTCTTAGGGATTGGAACCCTGTCTCAGGAAAAACAGAGCAGGAGATGGATTGAATGTATAGGACCAGAAGGACAGAGAGGAAGGTTGAGACCATATGTGGCTGATGTAGTGATAAATTTATGGGGTTGTGATCTATTACAGCAATGGAATACACAGATTAACATTCCTCCAGTATTAGATAGGAACCATGAACGATCTCATGATTGTGGAAAAAATATTATAAAGTACTATACAAGACAGATAGCAAATATCCAGGCTGTACAAAAACAGAATACAAGTGCTGAACAAACAAAGGAACCAAAAGCCCTACCTTTAAAATGGCTAACAGAGCAACCTATCTGGGTAGGACAATAGCCTATGACCTCTGAGAAGTTAGAAGCTTTAGAAAGCCTGGTTCAGGAACAGCTAAATGCTGGACATATTGAGGAATCAACCAGCCCTTAGAATTCTCCTGTATTTGTGATCAAAAAGAAATCTGGTAAATGCTTACAGACCTGAGAGCCATCAACAAAGTTATCCAGCCAATGGGCTCTCTACAGCCTGGAATGCCCTTGCCTTCTTTGATACCCAAAGAATGGTCTATTATAGTTATTGATTTAAATGATTGCTTCTTCACTATACCTTTACAAGAACAGGATAAAGAGAAATTTGCCTTCACGGTACCTAATTACAATAATTCTCAACCAGTGAAGAGATATCAATGGAAGGTTTTGCCATGGGGAATACTAAATAGCCCCACCCTGTGCCAATATTTTGTACAAAAAACTGCTAGAAATAATTCGTAAACAGTTTCCACAATCCATAATCTATCATTACATGGATGATATATTGTTAGCTGACTCTAAAGGAGAAATATTAGAAAAAATGTTTGAGAAAGTAAAGGAAGTTTTATCTTGTTGGGAATTACAAATTGCACCTGAAAAAATACAAAATGGAGAGTCTATCAACTACTTAGGATATAAAATAGGTCTACAGAAAATTACACCACAAAAAGTACAGATCAGGAGAGATCGCTACCAAACTCTAAATGATCTTCAAAAATTACTAGGAGAGATTTCTCAACTGCAAACCATTATTGGAGTAGAAGGGCATGATTTGAAAAACTTGAAAAAGGCCCTAAAAGGATACAAGGACTTGAACAGTCCACAAATACTATCAGCTGAAGCTGAGAAGGAATTAAAATGGGTAGAAAAGAGGATACTAGAAGCACATGTGGACCATGTGGATCTAAACCTAGACTGTATTCTGGTTATATTACCATCTAGAGAATATCCTTCAGGGATTTTGATGCAGAGAGAAAATATCATATTAGAATGGATATTCTTACCACATAAACAGAATAAAAAACTAAAAACATATATAGAAAAGATCTCTGACTAGATATGTAGTTCATTTTGTTCTCGATTTTCCTTTTCTTAGAGCACACTTGTTATTCACTGTTTTGTATATAGTTTTGTATCAAGCCTAAATCTTTTCTTTAGACTAAAAGGGGAATTGTAGTGAGATATTCACTTTGTCTCCTTCTATGGCACTGACCACGCCCATTGGGGTGGAGCCATGGGCGGAAGTGACCTGTGGAAGGAGGTCTGAGGAAGAGCTAGGGGAATGCTCTCTGCTGGAGGGACTGGGACAGGAACTAGCTGGTGTTCATCTGTCTAGGTTGTAAGTTATTTCTCCCTGAATAAACATCTATTTGGCCTATTTCTTTATGCCGATTCTTATTTAACCGTAATAAACAAATTTAAGCATTTAATGGGATACAAAATGATTGGTGTATTTGGCCCACTGCTGCTATTACAACATCATGTGAAGTCACTCATTCTATCTTACTACCAGCCATACACATCAGACACTTCTTTGTACCTAGACACACACTTCCCACCCCAGAGCTTTCACATGGCCATCTCCCCCTTATAAAATATTCTTAGCAATAAAATAACAAGTCAGCAAATGCAGCCACAGTCTCTTAATCTATAAAGCCCATCTTGGTGTCACTAGTTTAAAAATATTTTGCTAACTATCCATCCATTCCATAGTCCATCCTGTCATTGTTGCAATTGTGATTGACACTCTTGATCTTCACAGTAGGCACTGCACTACTGGAAACTTATTAGCATTTGTGTCCCCAGGTCTAACTTATCTTTCTCGTTTAATCTGTATCTTCAAATCTGGGTAGTTCTAGCATTGACACAATGACTGCCTCTAGGAAGGCATTTCTCAAATGAGGCTGAGTAAGTGAATTCATGACCAAATTCAATTAGATTTGCCCCTGGCAAAAAACTTTAAAAGACTTACTATCACTTAAGAAGTTTTACATAAATGTGTAGAGATGCATATATGCATATTTCCTACTGCCTATTTGACTTTGTCTTGGTCAGATGACACACCATTTTGCTAAATATTAATATTAAACTTTTCAATATTTAGCAATTTTCTCTGGCTCTGACAGAATAGAAACTAGCCTTCAAAACCTTCAGTGGTTGCCCTCATATAAAACTAGAAGAACTGAAGTGTCCAATGTTATACTTTTTCAGAGTTTGGAATTCAAGTTACAACTAGGTATTCTAGATTGGTATACATGCCACATGGTGATGACACATTACTTTAATCCCAGCACTCTGGAGGCAGAGGCAGGCAGACCTCTATGAGTTTAAGGACAGCCTCGTCTATAGACTATATGTTCCAGGACAGCCAAGGCTAAACTGAGAAACCCTGTCTTGGAAAAATAAAATTTATACATATGAGTGTTTTATTTGCAGGTATGTATGGTCTCGTATTTTTTCAGTAAAACTAGCCAAAATACCCAGGATACAAAATATATAGGTACTAAAAATAAATATAATAAGTCAAATCAAACAAATAGAGGCTTAGCTTGTTTGGTAATTTCACGTTTATGACATAAAGGAAAGGGCTTTGGATTTGGGTCGGTGGCAGACTGCTTCAAAGACCTGGATTTGATCTCCAGGACTACATTATCATCATCATTATTATTAAAATGAAGTAAAGATTAGATAATATAGGCTTCTTTTTTCTTTTCAGTTTAAAATCACAGGAATAAAAGAATGTATTTTTCTATCATGCTTTAAGTCTCTGTTAATAAGTATACTGAATGATGCTGCCACATAAATTCATTAAGTAGTTTCCATCAGAAAGTCTACATCTATACTGGTTTTCACTCCACTCTCTCTTCTCAGGGAAGCTGATCCACAGATGCTTCAGAGGGCCTCCCATGTCCTCTCCAGCTTTGAAATACAGGTCAGAAGATAAGGGAGCAGGCTGAGATCTGCTTTCTGTTAGTCCCCTCTCAGGTTGCCTGAGCCAGTTGTGTGCTTCACCTAAGTCACACTGCTTGAAATGTAGCCCATTGCATCAGAATCTCATTTAAAACCAAAAGCAAATACTTTCTTCCTTTGTCCTTTTAGATCTAACAGTATGTTCACTCTGTATTTCCTCACAAATCTCTTTTTTAAAACAGACTATTAAAACTGTACTTTGAATAGGCCATTGGTTTTCCTTCAGGGTCATGATGGACAACATTGATTATATCGTCAGCATCACTCGGTGGTTCATGCAAAACTTTACTTTGGAGACCAGACTGGACTTTGAATTTCTATCAAGGGAAACTTGTGTCATGAGTTTAATTCTGTTTGTTCCACAACAGCATCTCCAATGAAAACCAACCAGTTCCTCACACGTGCGGAACTCTCACCATTAAACACTATTGACATACAAAAGAAGTGAGCCAAAAGGGTATTTCAGCTGGGGAAAACGTTGCATAGAAAATCACCTCCAAGCCTGAACCTCATCCAAGGGGCACATTTCTTGAAGCAGCAAAAAGTCATTATTTATGAACACTGGGAAAAGAGCCTGAGAAGTGAATTCAAACCTACCTCATCAAATATAACATATCTTATCCTCTTCACCCAGCTTTGTCGATGAGGAGCCAGCAGTAGAATTTCAAAGCAGGCAGGCACAGTAACAAGTACCTAAAAACACAGTATTGTGTGACATAATCCATGTGCATAGGTATAAAGCTACAAGAGGTAAAGCTTGTGAGTCCTGAGCTTGTCTAATAATTAAGATCTGATACTACTTCCAAGAACTGAATTCATTACACTTGTGATATTTGAAGCACATTAAACCTCAATTTTCCTGGGGCAAAATAGTGAAATATCAAATTTGAGTCCTGATTCTTGTTATGAGTTTTAAACTGTGTCCTGCCCTACGTGGGACACCATATTGACCTCTTTCCCAACCCAATAATTAGTGAAGGAGATGGAAAGAGAGAACCAGGGAAATGGGCAGAATATTGTGAACAGCCATCTTCTGAACATGGCATGGCAGTTCCACTCATGAACTCAGAGTAACTGTGGTTATATTTACAAGACCTGCAGAAAAAAAAATCAAACCAGTCAAACTCAAGAGAGAATAAAGAAGCAGCTCACAAGGCCACACCCCCATAGAGGAGTTGTTGAAAGTTGGTTGATGCTGGGAAACAGATAAGATACTGGGAGGGCTCTGGATTGCAGGGAGTCAAGGGAGGTAGAAGGAGAAAATGTTTTAACTAAATAAAAAATTTAAAAAGAAAAAATATATAAGAATCAAAGCCATTAATTTTAACTTCTGTTTTTGGTTTTTAAGACAGAGTTTTTCTGTGTAACAGTCCTGACTGTCCTGGAATTCACTTTGTAGACTAGGCTGTCCTCAGACTCACTGAGATCTGCCTGCCTGTACCTCTCAAGCGCTGGAATTAAAGGTGTATGCCACCACCATCCACCTTAATTATGCCTACTTTGAATCTTTCAAATCTAACACTAACAGGGAATTTGTGTTGAAAGGCAATCCAGGTAGCACACTGCCAAGTGTACTACATAATGCTCTACTAGCATGTCTTGTTTTGCTGTTTATCAAATTATTGACTGAAAACTCAGTAAGAAAGAAAACTATAACTTCAGTAATAATACAACATATTTATTAGCTACAATAGAACACAAAATTTTTTAACTGAAATGAGTATCTTTAACAAGAGAAGGTAAAGCTTATAAAGATCTTTGGAGCATTTTGAATCCCAGTAAAAAGCAACATGATAAGTGACCTATAAACTAAAAGTTTAAATCAAACAAAAGTATCTTTAGAGAAAATACTATTTTTCACGTTCTTTGGAATGTAACCATATTTTATTTTCTCTGAAGCAGTTTTGTTCTTTACAAATTCGAGGATATTATTTTCATAAAGATATAACATTGTTATATAATCCGGTATCAAGTTTATTAAATAGTATGTCAAACCTGGCAGTTCAGGGCATCATGACGATATTCCCTAGTAAAAACACCACACAGAGCTCCACCAGCTGGCAGAATTTTGGTATAGCGATTTTGAACAGTTGCTGCCACTTGGTTAACAAGTGCCTGATTGACAGGAAAACAGAGATATTAGTTACACCATAAAGTGTAGATCAGCAAAGTTTAATGGAATGAGAGAGATGTCCAAAACTATGTTCTTCTACGAATGCAGAAAACCTAAGAAACCCTTTCCTCTACCCACTCTACTAAAAAGCTCTCCCTTTGAACTGTTGTACTAAAAATCTGAAACTTGTGAGTAACAACAACCTAGAGTAAAACAGGAAAAGAAAGCATTTGTCTGAAAGTAAAATGGCAAATGTATCCTTTATAGCAGAAAAATTAACACACATAAAACAATTGAATAATCACCACTCATAATTTGAGTCTAACACAGGAAGAAGTTCAAACAGATTTGTATCTCCTACTTCAGAACCTCACCCAGATGTCAGAAGCTTGACTTCATATACAAATCTGCATCGTCTCACTTAGGATAAAGCAGCTAGCATGGCCAGTGGAATCTATAAACCTTCAAACACCTGTTAAATTCTTTATACTCCCAAAAGTACACACCATATATATATAAATGTAAAATTTATAACATATCCACAAATATATTTTAAAGTGATATTCCAATTATTTTAATATATTTGAATACACAACCCCCTTGTCTTGGCTAGTTTTATCTGAACTTGACCGAAGCTTTAGTCATTTGGAGACAGGAAAACTCTGGTCCCATCAGATTGTCATGTGGCTAACTTTTTTTGATTAATAATTAATGTGGGCTGGCCCAGTTCACTGCGGACAATGTCACCCCTAAGCAAGTGGTCCTGGCTGCTATCATTGGAATGAATAACTGTAATAAACTAAGGTAAAAGCTTGATCCATGAATGTATATTTCAGTGTTGTTCAGAAAAAGATGTATTATGTGTTACACAAAAGTTGATAAATGAGTAAAAAGACCAACTCCTCCATTATAAAAAGTAGGCAAATGTATTCTCAAGTACATCATGAATAAAGAAGTACTAGAGACCAAAAATCATGCATAATCATGAGTCAAAGAAATGTACATCTAGATATGCAAATACAAAAATGCACATCTAAAAATTCTGCTGCCTCTGAATGTAGTAGAAGCTCATGCAATAACAACAAGAACCTCAGAAAAGATTTGATATTCCATCTCACAGCAATTAAAATGGGTAAATCAAGAAGGCAAAAATTAACATTTGTGGGAAAATAGTGATAAGGGTAAGAGTTTAAGCTGATATACCCATTATAGAAATCATTTTTTGAGGCTTCCCAAAGCACTAAAATTAAAACTACCTCATGACCTAGCTATATCATGCCTTCCTGGTTATATACCCAAGGTCTTCAATCTTACTACAGAAATACATGCATGTCCATGTTCCCATTTCCACTATTCCAATAGCTAAGAAATAGATGTGGCCTTGATGTCCATCAACAAATTAATAGAAAAAGAAAATATACAAATATACAATTCTATTCAACTATAAATAAAAACAAAACAAAGTTGTTCACGGAAAAAAAATGGTTGTAACTGGGAAATATTATATTAAGCAAAAATAATACAGACTTAGAAAGACAAATATCACATTTTCTCTTATGTTGGATCACAAAATTTAGTTTTTAGTATACGTGTATGTATAATGTGGGTGAGAGTGGGTACATACATTCACGAAGTTAGAAACGGAATCATGAAAAGGAAAATGAGTCATAAGGTGGGGAAGGAAATAAGGTAATAGGATATATTTGACTTGAACATGGAATGGTAGCTACATGAAAATAGAACAGAGCAGTGAAGGGGAATTACATCATAGGGGAGGAAAGTGGTGAAGAGGGGTCAAAAAGAAAGGTAAAAAAAAATCTAGGAAGTTCTATTATGAAGCCCCTTATTTTGTTAATTTTTAACTAGCAAAAACAAATAAAGGGAACTAGATCCACCACATGACCACATCTCATATTTCCAAGTAAACTCTGAAATGAAGAAAAACATAACATGCACTGGATCCCTACCTTTGTTGGTGCAACATACACAACCACACCTTCATTGCTCTCCTTCAACACCTTCTCCATGCAGTAGTAAGAAGCATAGGTTTTGCCAGATGATGTGGGGGCAACAATCACTGCAGACTCATAGTTTTCTACCACATCCAGGAGCTCTCGCTGCAGGGGTCATATCATGATTTGAGTCAATCAAACTAGCCATATGCTACCCAAACAGATCAGTCTTTCTCTGTTAAGATTTTTCTGAACCTCAGTGAGGGAGAGCTGCAGACTCACAGAAAAAATGAAAAGGAACTCTGATAAATGACTCATTCCCTCAAGTGATGCAATTTGTTTGCTTTTTGAACAGCTGCAAGATGACAATGGAAAGACTAAGAAGAACTGCACAGGAAAAGTGGACTGTTCAGGGAAAACAAGGAGCCAATGAGTAGGGCAGTGAAACAAGTGTGGGTATTAATGGAACTGTGATCACAACACGCAACATACAGGGAGGAAAAGACCACAATGAATATCTAACAATAAAAAAATTACTCAAAATAGTATCAGAATAAGATCTTATTACTATTAAGGTTGTTTTTAAGAGGAGTACAGAGTATCTTTGAGAAATACAATTGTTGGAATCAGACAAACCATAGTTTTATGGGCAGTAAGCAATGGTTGAAGCACAGAAATAGCAAAGATTCTCCATTTTGCTGCTTACCCTCGATGTGCAACTATTTGGGAACATCATCTTTGCATCCTAAGATTTTATTCATCAACATGATGAGTAGTTAAAAGAATGGAAACCTGTGTGAAGTATGGGAAACAGAAAGTTCTCTAAAATTCCAACCTGCCCTCACCTTGAATCTAGTCTTCCCTATATGCCAAACTCCAAAATGAAAAAGTCATGAAAGAATTAGAAGGCATATGGAAAGTCAGAGTAAACTTTACTACCCTGTAACCTACACTGAAATAATTGGTCCCATGCTCATGGAAAAATTAGCATTTTGTAAAGGAACCCCACCATTAACAGCACAAGGATAGGTCCATGCTCCAGTCTGCATGTGGCTTCATGTCTCCCCAGAATCCTAGAATCTTATCCCCAGGTTGAAGATGTTTGGAGGCATTGAAAAGTTTAAGAAGGGGAGAATACCCAGAGGTCTATAGGTCACTATGAGTCACAGCCTTGGTAAGTAAAAGATTTGTTATGCAAGTTCTAGGCCCAATGATCTTTCCCAATTCCTGCATTCAGTGTTATGTTTTCTTATACAAGCTGCCCCACCACAATGTGCTGCCATTCTGTTGTCAAGCTGGCACTGGAAGCCAGACCAACAGAGCCATCCAATCCCTGGTGTTGAAACTGCAGAAGAAGAAGGTAAATTAGCATCTTTACATTAAAGCTAGGCTGCCTCAGGTTTCTCATTACATTAATGACAAGTGTCTTACAAAATCTTAACTGAGTGGGACAACCAGTCAGAATGAACTTATAAAATTATATAATTAAATAATGCTCAACTTGTCATATATGTGTGTGTGTGTTTGTGTGTGTGTGTGTGTGTGTGTGTATTGTATATATATTTAAATATGTGCAGAAGTGGTTACTTCCAAATTCTGTAGCCATCAATATTTACCTTATATCTGTTTACAGAAATACAGCTAGAATGGCAGTGTGTATAGTCTGTAAATACATAAACAATTTTCCCACTGCTTAAACCACCTGAATTTCTTCATGGGTATTTATATTGTTTACATAGGAAATTTTATTAACAGAGAGAGAACCTGAAGTCGGGCACAGAATGATAACAGCTGTATAGCACAGATACTTTGAATCTATTTGTGAATTTCATCCAATACCTCACAGAGGTAATAATCTAAATAGTAAGTGAAAAATTTTAATTTCATTAAATGTAAAAAATAGTCCAAATGAGACATTTTAATTATCAATGAATTTTAAGTGAAATGAATTTTAAGTTTAAATGAAATATCTCCATATTTTGAAGTTCATGACAAACACAAATATATACATACACAGAAAGAGCTATAACAAAATGAAACCCCATGATGCATACATGATTATAAAATACAATTACTATTTTTATTCATAGTTTTATTCATAGTTTTACCTGCCATGTATCAGGAATAAAATCTTGGACCCTGGGGTCTGGATCTTTTCTTTCTTCTCGTATCAAATGGTGTCCCATATATTGTAGTTGGAAGCGAGCTGGCCCAATTCCAATGCAATATTTGTTCTTTTTTGTCTTTTTCATGTCATCTGATGCATCCTGTGTTTTGATTATTTTGAAAGCAATTTAAATTACAGCAGCATATAAATAATTGAAATGTTTATGACTGCATTTCTTCTATATGAAAACAAACTTAATCACCTTTAAACATCATGAAGTCATTGCCACTTTTCTTAAATACAAATAAATCAGTAGATGTCAAGATTTTCAAATGTTTACTCTGATATTTGTAGCTGTAGCCTGACATATTTAAAATAATCCAACACCATTATAGATTTGATCTGTTTTGTTAGAATTTAGTATTGGGTTAGTTTGAGAAGTCTTCAGAAATTGTCTAACATTTAGTGTTACAGTCAAGTTGTGTAAAAAAAATTTAAATTCTTGATTAATTCAACTTTTGGAAATTGGATTAACTAAGATGATAGTTTTACTAAAAATAAACATAAAAGAGATGACTGTATATGAAAGATGCTTTATGTATAGAAAATAAAGGCTGAGTTAAAATACAGCTATCACAATATTTTACCTGAGTTGGATACAAAGAATTTGCTAGCTCATCAAACCCTAAATATATAAGACATCTGGCTATGAGTTTCCGGTCTGCTTCTTGAAGAAGTTCAGAGTGTTTGTCCAACAAGGAGTGAATTCTCTTCATCATATCAATGGCTATGTTCATGTCTTTTGTGGTTTCACCTTGGTACAAAATATAAATTATAAAATTGTTATAAAAGACATCAAATTAACAAATGTTTATTACCAAAGATCAATTGTCTAGCCTATCAATTCTTACTACAATTAATGAAAGTCAGTGTCTTACTTACCATAAATACATGTTTGAGAATAAAAAGTACTAGATAAAAATCTTACACTTCACCATTAAAATATTATTAAAATCCAGTCTGTAGAATTTTATGGTGAGCTTGACCTCCATCGCAGGTCCTCTGCTAAAGAGGCCTCAGCTGGAGAGTGCCAGGCCCTAGCTAGATCAACCTATCTGTGCGGAAACATCCCGAGTATCAGCCCAGGCTTTGACCCCCACCATCTTTGACCACCAATTGCGAGGCCTTGGCTAGAGGTGAGTCTGGGACCAATTCAGGTGGAACTCCTCCACACCCTTCCCCAGGAACTCCTTGGGTTGGCCCCGGATCTTGCTGCCCCTGTGCTTTGTCCCCATCAAGAACGCTCTTGAAGATCTGATACACAGCCACCCATCTCCACCAAAAGCCTGCCCTCCCCCTACCCTTTGACATACCCTGCCCACTGTCCCACCACTCTGGTTGAGCACTGGGATAGAGGGTGATGCCAACAATGCTGCCACCTTTGTTGAACTTCCTGGAGCTGCTCTGAGCACACTAGACCTGCCTATCTAAGCAGCACCACCTGTAATTTCCACCTGCCCTCTCTGACCCCCACTGCCAATTCTCTACTGGAGCTGTGGGCCCCTCCCAGAGATCTTCCAATGTCCATGGGGCCACTCTGAGTTCCTGCCAGCAGGATCCTTGACCCCCATTGCAAGGCCCCTGCCAAAGAAGCCTCAGCTGGAGAGTGCCAGGCCCAGGCTAGATCTGCCTATCAGCATACTGTACATCCTGAGTCCCATCCTTTGGGATCTTTGACTCCCATCACCAGTCTTCTGCTGGAGCCTGATCTTTGACCCCAATCACTGGGCCCTTGACTGTGGAGAGTCATCATAGAGAGCTTGGACCACACAGAGCTATAGACATAGACCTCTGACCCACCTAAACCCACCTAGGGAGTACCATAGAGAGAGGGAGAGACCCCACCAACACCTACTGGAAGAAGCTATGGGAAAACAGCAATACAAGAAAATATCTAACAACAGAAAGACAAGCATGACACCACCGGAATCTAGGGAATCAACACCAACTAGACCAAAACACAACAAATCAGATGAAGCAGAAGAGAATGACTTAAAAATTATCATCATAAAAATGATAGAGGAGATAATGTGAGAAAATCCCTTAAGGAAATGGAAGAAAAAACAAACAAAACATTGGAAGAAATGAAAAAATATCTTAAAGAAAGTACAGAAAGCCAAGAATAAACAATTAAACAGGTGAAAGAAATGGTTCAAGACTTGAAAACTAAAATAGAGACAATAAAGAAAACACAAACTGAAGGAATTCTAGAAATAGAAAAACTGGGCAAAAGATAGGGAACTACAGACACAAGTATAACCAACAGAATTCAAGAGATGGAAGAGAGACTCTCAGGCAAAGAAGATAAACTAGAGAAAATAGATTCATCAACCAAAGAAAATCATAAATCCAACAAATTCTTAACACAAAACATCCAGCAAACGTGGCAAACCTTGAAAAGGCCAAAACTAAGAATAATAGGCTTAAAGAAGGCAAAGAAGCTGAGCTCAAAGGTACAGAAAACATATTCAACAAAATCTTTGAGGAAAACTTTCCCAATGTGAAGAAGGACATGCCCATGAAATTACCAGAAGCATACCAAACACCAAATAGAATGGACCAAAGAAAAAAGAACCCTCAACACAAAATAATCAAAACAGCCAACATACAGAATAAAGAAAGAATATTAAGAGCAGTGAAGGAAAAAAGACAGATAACATATAAAGGCAGACCTATCAAAATTACACCTGACTTCTCCGTGGAAACCCTCAAGGCCAGAAGGTCCTGGATAGATAGATGTTCTACAAGTACTAAGAGTCCATGGATGCAAGACCTGGCTACTATACCAGCAAAACTGACAATCACTATAGATGGAGAAAACTAGATATTTAATGAAAAAGCCAGATTTTCACAATACATATCTACAAATCCAGCCCTACAGAAAGTTTTGGGAGAAAAACTCCAACTCAAGGAAGTTAACTATGCTCACAAAGACATAGGCAATAGATAATCTCACTTCATCAGAACCCAAGGGTAAATCAGGACATATATACTCACAATACTACTGCCAAAACCAAATCTAAAACAAACAAGCATTAACAATCAATGGTCCTTATCTTCCTCAACATTAATGGTTTTAACTCGCCTGTAAAAAGACACAGGCTAACAGAATGGATACAAAGACAGAATCCATCCTTCTGCTGCATACATGAAACACATCTAAGCTTCAAAGATAGACATTACCTTAGGGTAAGGGGCTTGAAAGAGATCTTCCAATCAAATGGGCCCAAGAAGCAAGCAGGTGTGGCTAACCTAATATCTAACAAGTTAGACTTCAAACTAAAATTAATCAAAAGAGATGAAGACAGTCATTTCATATTCATCGCAGAAGAAATCCATCAACACAAAGTCTCAATTCTGAACATCTATGCCTCAAACACAATGGCACCCACATTAAAAAAACAAACGCTACTAAAATTCAAACCTCACATAAAACTTCATACACTTATAGTGGGAGACTTCAACACACAACTCTCACCACTAGACAGGACCACCAGTCAGAAACTTAACAAAAAAAAAAAAAAAAAAAAAAAAAAAAAAAAGAACTAACAGAAGTTATGTCTCAGCTGGGTTTAACAGACACCTATAGAACATCCCATTCAAACAAACAAACAAAAAAAAGAGAATATACCTTCTTCTCTGCTCCACATGGAACCTTCTCTAAAATCGACTACTTACTAGGTAGCATAACAAACCTCAACAGATACAAAAGAATTGGAATAGACCCCTGTAAATTATCAGACCACTATGCTTTAAAATTGAAATTCAACAACAACACAAATTGCAAAAACCCTACAAACGCATGGAAACTGAACAATGTGCAATTGCACCATACCTGGGTCAAGGAAGAAATAAAGAAAGAAATTAAGGACTTCCTAAAATTCAATGAGAATGAGGACACAACATACCTGAACTTAAGGGACACCTTGAAAGCAGTGTTATTAGGAAAGTTCATTGCACTAAGTGCCCATATGAAGAAAACAGACGATAATCACATTAGAGAATTAACAGCACAACTGAAAGCATTTGAACATAAAGAAGCAAACTCACCCTGAAGGAGTAGATGCCAGATAATAATCAATTTGAGGGCTGAAATCAATAAAATAGAAACCAGGAAAACAATACAAAAAAATCAATGCAACAAAGAGTTGGTTTTTTTCAGAAAATTAACAAGATAGACAAACTATTATCCAAGCTAACGAAAAAGCAGAGAGAGAACATGCAAATTAACAAAATCAGAAACAAAAAAAACGGGAACATAACAATGGACAAAGAGGAAAAACAGACAATTTTCAGGTCATACTTTGAAAACCTGTATTCCTCAAAATTTAAAATTCAAATGAAATGAACAAATTTCTGGATACTATCACTTACCAAAATTAAATTAAAAACAGACAAACAACGTAAATAGACCTATAACTTGAGATGAAATAGAAGCAGTCATCGACAGCCTTCCAACCAAAAAATTTCCAGGGCCAGATTGCTTCAGAGCAGAATACTACCAGAAAATCAAGGAAGAGCTAATACCAATACACCTCAAATTGTTCCACAGAATAGAAACAGAAGGCACACTACCAAACACTTTTTACGAGGTCACAATCACCTTGGTAGCCAAGCCACACAAAGACACCAATTAGAAAGAAAACTACAGACAAATATCCCTGATAAATATCGAAGCAAAAATACTCAATAAAATACTGGCAAACAGAATCCAAGAACACATCAGAGAAATCATCTGCCATGACCGAGTAGGCTTCATACCTGGGATGCAGGGATGGTTAAACATATGAAAATATATCAACGTGATCCACAATATAAACAAACTGAAAAAGAAAAACCATATGATCATCTCCATAGATGCTGAAAAAGCCTTCAACAAAATTCAACACCCTTTCATGATAAAGGTCTTGGAGAGGTCAGGGATAACAGAAACATACATAAACATAATAAGAACAATATACAGCAAACCAACAGCCAAGATCAAACTGAATGGAATCAGGAAGAAAAGGCTGCACTCTCTCTCCTTATCTCTTCAATATTGTACTTAAAGTTCTAGCTAAAACTATAAGACAACAAAAGGAGGTCAAGGGGATACAAATTGAAAAGGAAGAAGTCAAATTTCCTTTATTTACATAAGTGACCCAAAATAAATTCTACCAGGGAACTCCTACAGTTGATAAACACCTTTAGTAAACTAGCAGGATGCAAGATGAACTCAAAAAACTCAGTAGCCCTACTTTATTCAGATGACAAAGGGGGTGAGAAAGAAATCAGAGAAACATCACCTTTTAAAATAGCCACAAATAACATAAATTATCTTGGGGTAATGCTTACCAAACAACTGAAAGATGTAAATAATAAAAACTTTGTGACTTTAAAAAAGAAATTAAAGAAGGTACCAGAAAATGGAAAGATCTCCCATGCTCATGGATAGGTAGGATAAATATAGTAAAAATGGCAATCTTGCCAAAAGCAATCTATCAACGCAATCCCCATTAAAATCCCACCACAATTCTTCACTGATATTGAAAAGATAATAATCAATTTTATATGGAAAAACAAAAGACCCAGGATAGCCAAAACAACCCTATACAATAAAAGAACTTCAGGAGGTATCACCATCCCTGACTTTAAGCTCTACTGCAGAGCTATAGTCCTGAAAATTGCCTGGTATTGGCACAAAAATAGACAAGTAGACCAATGGAATCGAATCAAAAATCCTGATATATACCCACACACCTATGAATACCTGATTTTCGACAAAACAGCTAAAAGAATACAATGGGGTGGGGGAGAAAAACATCTTCAACAAATTGTGCTGGCACAATTGGATGATGGTGTGTAGAAGATTGCAGATAGACCCATGTCTGTCGCCATGCACAAAACTCAAGTCCACATGGATCAAAGACTTCAACATCAATCCAGCCACATTGAACCTCTTAGAAGAGAAAGTAGGAGGTACCCTTGAACAAATTAGTATAGGAGACCGCTTCCTGAACATAACTCCAGTAACTGAGACACTGAGAGCAACAATTAATAAATGGGACCTCCTGAAACTGAGAAGCTTCTGTAAGGCAACAGACAGTGGACAAGACCAAATGGCAGCCCACAGACTGGGAAAATATTTTCACCAATCCTACATCTGACAAAGGGCTGATCTGCAAAATATACAAAGAACTCAAGAAACTAGTCAACAAAACTTCAAATAACCCTATTAAAAAATTGGGTACAGAACTGAAGAGAGAATTGTCAATAGAGAAATCAAAAAGTCTGAAAGACAGGTAAGAAATGCTTATCATCCTTAGCTATCAGGGAAATGCAAATCAAAACAACTTTGAGATACCATTTTACTCATGCTCGAATGGCTAAAATTAGAAACACCAATGACAACTTATGCTGGAGAGGAATTGGAGAAAGGGGAACACTCCTCCACTGCTTGTGGGAATGCAAACTCATACAGCCATTTTGGGGATAAGTATGGCAGTTCCTCAGGAAAATGGGAATTAATTTACCACAGGACCTGGCAATCCCCCTCTTAGGCATATACCCCAATGAACCACATCCATTCAACAAAGACATCTTCTCAACTATGTTCACAGCAGCATTATTTATAATAGCAAGAACCTGGAAGCAACCTAGATGCCCCTCAACTAAAGAATGGATAAAGAAGATATGTCACATCTATACAGTAGAATACTACTCTGCAGAGAAAAATAATGGAATCTTGAAATTCGCAGGCAAGTGGTTGGAACTTGAAGAAACCATCCTGAATGAGGTAAACCAGTCACAAAAAGAGGAACATGATATGTACTCACTGATATATGGGTTTTAGACCTAGAGCAAAGGATCACCAGCCTATAATTCACACCACCAGAGTAACTAGGATACAAGGTGTATTCTAAGAGATTCATATAAGGTCCCTCACAGAAGGGGGAGGGGACAAGTCCCCCAGAACACATGGGAAGTGGTGGGGGCAGTGAATGGAGAGGGACTTAGGAGAAAGTGAAGGGGAGGAGAGGAAAGCACGTGCAACTAGGAAGATTGAGTCAGGGTACAAATAGAAGATAAAAAAGACAGACACACACAGAGAGAGAGAGAGAGAGAGAGAGAGAGAGAGAGAGAGAGAGAGAGAGAGAGAAGAGAGAGAGAGAGAACATAAAATAGGGTGCCATTATTGATTTGAAGAGAAAACTGATCCTGAAGAAATGTCTAGAGACCTACAAGACCAACTCCAACTAACAATTTCAGCAACAGTGGAAATTTATCATAAATGCCCTGTCCTGATAATGAGATCAACAACTAACTTATCCACTCTCGGGTAGCCCTCATCTAGTACCTATTGGAAACAGAAGCAAACACTATAACTAAATACTGAGTAGAACTAGAATCCAGATGCAGAGAGAGGACAATACCAGGTTGCAGAAACACATAGAGACAGCTGACGTGAACAAGGAGGAGTTAACAGGCCCCCACACTGATAGCTGGGAATCCAGCATGGGACTGACTCAGACCCCCTGAACATGGTTCTCAGCTATAAGGCCTGAGCAGTCTAAGGGACCTCAGTTAGTGGAACCAGAATATATTCCTGGTGCACAAAAGGACCTTGTGGACACATCTCCCATGGAAGGATACTCCATTAACCTAGAGACAGGAGAGAAGTCCTAGTCACTACTTCAAATGACTTGTCAGATTTACATGACCCCACCTGGATGACATACCCCTACATGTGGAGTGGGGGGTATGGAATGGGATGGTGGTCAGGGTGCATGTGATATGAGAGAGAGCATAAGAGGGAGGGAAGGAAGGAAGGAGAGGGAACTGGGATCAACATGTAAAATCTAAAAAATAAAATTTTATGGTGAATTACAAAGCTTTGCTCTATCTCTTATTGCCATGTCTCCTCTGTTAAAAGAAAATAATTGCAAAATTTTAAATTTAAAATTATAATCTTAGCCATATTCATTAGCCCTATTGTCCACAAACACTGGATATTAGCCCTCCTGTATCTGTTCACACAGATTCTGTCCATCTCTTCCAGATATCAGATCCAGACTCAGACAACCTCTCCACTTCTCTAGCATCATACAGACTGTTTTTTATTTCCTCCCTGTGGTACCATCTTTACTCTCGCATCTGTTTTAGTTCCTCCTTTCTTTTAGTTGGTGCACGTTCTCACCTATTATACAGGTACTACCAGTCCCACACTGAAAACTATTATATAAGAGAATGCCAAGTAAACAAAACAGAGGAAACAGAGGTCTTCCAGTCCAGGAGCATTTAGTTCACTTACACTTTTATGATATGAAATGCAATTGGGCCAGCTGAGCATTCAAAACAGCAGGTGTTGTGTGAGTCTGACTGCTATGGAAGACTTCATGGAAGGCTATTTCATGAGGGAACATATGAAGGATATATCCATCCCCCACAAGGATGTAGAGGATAAGTAATATCTGGTTCTATGAAAAGTAAGGACTAGGCATCTGTGGCAGTTACTACTCTTAATTTCTCTATCCAACATAGTTTCAAAGATTCCTTATTTATGTCTCTGTGGTACTGGGGATTCTACATACTTAGGTAAAAGTATGCAGTCCTTCTTGTAGAAAATGGTCTGTGACTAAGTTCTAAGGATATCTGAGGATAAGATTTTGGTGGCTGGGAAACTACACTAAATAAGAGAGACAGTGCTGGAGAGATGGCTATATGGTGACAGTAGTCACCACTCCTAAAGAGGTGGATTCCCAGTAACAATGTCAGAAGCCTCACAGCCACCTGGAACTCCAGCTTCAGGGAATCTGATGTCTTCTTCTGAATATGTGGACACCCTATACACATACATGGAGAGAGAGAGAGAGAGAGAGAGAGAGAGAGAGAGAGAGAGAGAGAGAGAGAGGCACACACACACACACACAAAATAAATCTGAAAACAGTTCAGTGTGCAAATGGAGAGTAAGCCAGAGTATGACTTATAAAAGGTCACAACTCTGGTCATGGACACAAGAACATTGAACTTCTGACCTTTACTAAAAGTACTTTGTTCCTTTAGAATCTGTTTCTGCTTCTACCACTAAAAATGGGTCCTGTCTAATTTCTTGTTGCTAGGCAGAAGAAACCAGAAATCCCAGCAAGGACTCTGCTTTCTGTCTATAGTGCCTACAAGCAATCATTAAATGAAATAAAGCACTACATTCTTGAAATCACTCTAAATTCTGATCTCTGTAAGTAGCATCCAGTTGCAAATCCTGATTCGGTGTCTTGGTTGGAAAGAATGATTAGTATATGCTAAGGTAAATCACATATCTCTAACCAGTTTACTTCATCTTTATCTTTCTATGTTTTATCTTATTTCCCTATAGAAATATAAAGGAAAGCACATGGAATTACCTCCCTGACTTTGGAAGAAGTCTCTGTGTTAGGGTGAAACCAGTGCTTATGTTTGTATGGTTGGTGTTGACTGTAAATGTTACCGGATTCTGAATATGCTTGTAAGGGATTATCTTTACTAGGCTAATTGATGCAAGAAACCCCATATAACCTGTGAGAGGAACCAAGTTCTCTGCAGGAATTTTGAACTACATGAAAAGAGATGCTGAGCTAAGCATGCCGTCATCCACTGTTCTCTGCCTTCCTATTATGAATATGATGTAATCAGCTGTTTCAAGCCTCTACTACTTAGATATGCCCTCCCCAACAATGAACTGAGCTGCTGAACAGAATAAACCCTTTCTCCATTAAGTTGCATTTTTCAAAGTTTTATTTTTGTTTGTTTGTTTTTATCACAGCAACCAAGGGGAAACAAAGTTAATAGGTAAGCATAAGCACCAACTTATGCAGAAGAGAAGGGCAATGTTATATTTCAGAACTCAAATTGAATGGCTGGGTCCTTGCTCTGTACTCCATCATTATTGGTTCTAACAATGCTCTCTGCCTGGTCATGGTCAGCAGTTAGTTTAAACATATCTTTAATTGTGTTTATAAATGTGCTAAGTCTTTGCTGTTGGCCACCTCTGTGGGATGTCATTGCTCATTGATAAAAACATAGGGAAAATCCTTTATGAGTCTTACTATACAAATTTTTAGCAGGTGACGAGCCACTATCATCCCCAGTTCATCAAGGAAAGCCAACAGAATTACAAGCCACGCACCTTCAGCTCGGCAGTGATCCCTCCATGCTGTCAAGCAAGCCTTTAACCCTGCTTTTTCAGCCTGAACTTTTACTGAGTTACTTTTACATGACTTCAAAAACTCTTCGAGCTTCTTCATCCCACAGTTCAAATTCCTTTCCATCTCCTTCTCAATAGTAGATGACAGGGCATTCCATTTTTGCTCTTCTTTTTGTTCTTCCTTGGCAATTAGCCTCTTCTTATTCTCTCGAGCAATTATGTCAGCCTTGGTCTCCTGCCCAAATCAAAAGAAACACAACTGATGACAAGAGAGAACTACTCCAGACTGACATTTCATGAGTGGAATGAGATTTTAAGAATGCACTGATGATTTTGACCATTATCCCATACTTGAATAGTCATAAAAATGTTTTTTTATTTAAGACTCTGTTGATTGAAACATAACAATTCAACTCAGTGAGTAAAAAGTCTTTCTGCAGATAATTTCCTAAATTCCAGTGTAATGTTACATTGAAAGGGGTAAGAGTAAAAGAGAGCTTGCAAAGATTCTTTCATGTCTCTATACAGTGATACCTGCTACACTCTCTGGGACTGCATTTCTACTACCTTTCCTACCAAGTCACTTTCCTACTCCCTAGGTGATCATGATGCTTCTACCCTGAAGCTCCCTCTGAATCTCATGCCTAAAGATAATGCCGTATACCTATGGAAAGCACCTATCCAGCTACTCATGCTATACTTACATGCACCACTCTTCCTCCCTAGACTGAGATCCTTGAGATAAGTTAGCACCAAAACTAACCCTGAGCCCAAGACATTTAGTTACTAATGTTTAATAAGTAAATGAGGAAAGGGGGCTGAAAGCAATGAGTGGATAGAAATCGTGATATATAAATGGTTTGCCTTACCTAAGGAAATGTTTTCAAATTATTTTGAAAGGATAATATGGACACACTTTTACTGTGGATTTACATGGTCATGTTAGAGAGCTAATGACATGGTCAGCAGGTAAAGGTACTTGCCTTACAAGCCTGATGCTCTAGTTCAGTCCCCAGAAGCCATGTAAAAGTGCAAGGAGAGGACCCACAAAACTTTCTTCTGACCTCCCCATACATATTGTAACACCACCATTGACCTCCCCATACATATTGTGATACCCCCATTGACCCCCACATACCAGTATGACACTCGCATTGACCCCCACATTTATACTGTGACACTCCCTATTTACCTCCACATACGTAGTATGGTAACCCGCATTGACCTTCACATACATGCTACACCACCCACCACTGTCCTCCACGTATCTCCCCATACACACTATGGCACCTACCACATATACTTATCACACAAACACACAGAAACAGTAAATATTTTTTAAAGGAAAAATTAGAGAATTAACGCTAGCAAAAGAATTCTGACAAAATCTTCCCATTTTTCAGGGTACTCATGGGATTTATACCTATAAAAAGATCACATTCTCAAACTACTTAATGTGTTGTATGGTGAAAAACTTTGCCAGTTTGTTATTTTGTAACAGAGAGGGAGAAAGTCTCCTCCTCTTCTGATCCTTATTCTCCTCCTCTTCCCCCTCTTCCTCCTCTTCCACTTTTCCCCCTCCATATCCTTCTCTTGATGTTTTGAAATGAACAGGAAAGGTTTCAACAATTTGGGTATAAAATTAAAAAGGTCCTGACTGTGTAAGAAAGGGGCAATGATAGCAAGCAGGAGCTTATGCAGCTTTCTCTTGATGAGTCTGTCGAAAGCTGACCTAGTCATCATTCCTCAGACAACCTGTGAATCAGGTCAAAGAGGGAAAACTCACAGTAGCATGAACATCAGGTACTCTGTGAAGTTTTGTGCTATCTTAACCATTACATAAGAGTGCTGTTTGTAAATCACCCAACTGGTAGTTGTCCTTGAGAGCTGTGAGACTTGATCTCCCTGATGGTTAATTAGTTAGATAACTGACAAAGACTTAGCATTTAGGGTTTTTTGTTTTTGTTTTTGTTTGTTTGTTGTTTATCTTGCTAAACAGTATCCAGAAATGAGAGTTTAAAAATCTTGTGTTTTGTGTTGGTGGAATTTTCATAGACTTCACTTCTGATGACTTTGCCACTCTACCTCCATTTGACAAGGCCGACTGATCTGTTTCTCTATAATGTATTAAAACAATTGGTATTCAGAGAGTTTGCACAAAATAAGTGACTTCTTCAGATCCAAAGCTCTAGAGCCCACAAAATGCTCACAAATTGCCAAATATTCAAAGTATGACCTTCACCTTTGTCAAATTAGCAAGTCCAGTTATAAAATATAATCTATGTTTGCAGGGTAATATTATCAGAAATACTAACATATAATTCTCACATTGTGAGAATAATATTTACAATAGAAATAAATTGAGTTTTCATCTCTTGTCCTTAATTGGGGCCTTTGAATGGGAACCGATAGAAAATAACAATACCAGTGGGTTAAATAGCAAAATTAAGAGGAAGTAATCTGTACAGAAAAAAAAGAAATGAACAGCTTTAACTTTGGACCTGAAAAAATATGGCGATGCATTAATTATTTAAATTCTTTGAGAAAAATGAAGAAATTCTGTGTAAGTCAAAGAAACCCATTTGTTTCATGTTTATTTTTATTGCATTTGTAAAAAGGATTCTGATTGTTATTAGCCAATAACACACATTTTAATATCATTGCAAAATTATAAGCCAATCCTTTAGTCACTTAGTGCTTTATTTGCTCCTCTAAATAAGTATATGTTATTGCATAGAGAGGATCATAGGTAACAATTTATATGCGTGTTAGACTTTCCTGTCTGGTATCAATTACCCTTTGTGTTTGTTACTTTTCTGTGCTATGATAAAACACTGTGATCAAGATAATTTATAGAAGAAAGAGTTTATCTAAGCTTGTGATTCCAGATGGATAAGAATCCATGATGTTAGTGCAGAAGACGGCACCTGGAGGTAGAAGCTGAAAGTTTGCATCTCAAACTGCAAGCAGGAAACAGAGAGCACACTCAAAATATCAAGGTTTTAAACTCTCAGAGCTGGCCTCTAGTGACATGCTTTCTCCAACAAGGCAAACCTCTTAAGCCTCCCCAAACAGTGCTGCCAACTGGGAGCCACACATGCAAATCATAAGACTATGGGAGACATTTCATTCAAACCACCACACCCACATAAAAGAAATGATGGCATCTCATGGAAAGAAGCCATCAATGGGATGAGCAAACACCAATTTAATAAAGAATAGCAGCAGGAGCTTTTTATGATAATAGAATTTACAGAAACTTACATGTGCCTTTGTGCTCCTGGACTTGCTGCAATCCTTCTTTGGCTTAGTACCTTGAGTTGTGATGATCTTGGGAGAGACTGATTCTAAGGAGTTCCCATAAAATCGTTGAAAAACATGATATTTCTGCAAACTCCTAAGTTGGCGTGGGTCTCTTGAATGCTCTGAAAAAGAAAAAAAACTTACAATGTAAAATGATTAAGATTTCTCAACATCATCTTTAACTCTTCACACACACTATATATATGCATACATATACATATATACATATGTTATATATAGAGTTAAACCTAGGACTTATGGAATTCAGGTCAAGAGTTCTACCACTGACAAACAACTCCCAGCATCTCATATCCTTTCAAAACAATTTTTCACAGTCTGGTTCCAAAAGCAGATACTAAAAATGTTATTTAATTTTATTGATTTAAATGTGTTCTTTGACAATGGATGTAACACACTTACCCCCATTCTCTTTTATATCCTTTTTAACCTGCCATCTCCCCCAGTTCCTTACAGATTTCTTAAACTACAAACCATCTTTCCTTAACACAGTGTCAAACTCATAAGATAAAGATCACTTCGGCATTCCTCTGCCTAAGACACCTATAACCACAGATGAATAACCACCAGGAAACCAAGGGAGAGTTCTCTGTTAACAACCTTCCTGTTATCCATCTCAATGTTGTGCTGACTGTTCTTCCTCAAAACTTTTGATTTGTGTTCATAATGTGTATTTCATTTTCAAAAACAAGAGCAGAGTGAAGAATATTTGAATTATTTGAGCAGAATCAGCAAGCTCACCATCAAAATTGGCTTTTGTCCTGTCATAATCATCACTGAGAGGTCTGTGGGAATGCCAGTGCACAAGCTCATCAAATTCTTTATTCTTAGACAGTGAGGTAACAATGGGATCATCACTGTGAGACAAAAAGAAATATAAGCATATTTCAAATCCCATGACTCCAAATCCAACACATTTTATTACTTTGAAAACTCTAGTCCTTCTCCTCTTCCTGAAATACATGTGTGATAGAATGCAAAGATGTTTTATTAGACGCTTCAGAAGCCAGGACCACTTCATGTCTCCAACACTCTCAAGCATTCCTTGTTCCATTCATTTAAAAATAGTGGTAGAGTACTTCATTCTCCAACGAAAATCATACAGATGTCATAAAGATGGTCAATGGGCAATTTGTTGCAAATATATATTGCATGTAATTTACTGTCTTAAATGTGTCATGTTTCTTGAAATTACTCAGAAAAGGCTTTCTCAAAGAATATTTAATAAATAACTATTACCCATTCAAAAAATATTTACTAAAACATATGGAGGACTTACCTCTTTAGGAAGGGCAAGTCTTTCAAAATGTCTCCAGTAAATTCATCAACCAAACTACATGACATAGGAATAAAGCCCAAATTTGGCATCTTCTCCTGGGAACTTTCTGTAAGCATAAAATAATTACCATTAAGTGAAATTTTCAAAAGAGAAGACAATACATTGTTTTCCAAAATTTCACATTTAAAAACATATTAGACTCACTTCATTTATATTTTAATTCCAATCCTGTTTATATGTTATTTCCCACATTAAATCTTTTGGAATATATCAATCAATAAATAATAACTTAGTAAGTAGTAAGTAGGTGGCTTGGTGGCTAGATGGATGAATTGATACATACATGGCTAGACAAATGCATCATGATGGTGAAAATTATAGAATATTGATAGATGGTAGAGATATAAACAAGAGATGATAGATCAATAATTCCTGTGGTGTTTATGTTCAAATATTTACCTATTTTATTTTGTCTAATAAGTAATAAAGATTCTAAAAACAGCAATCTGAGAGCTCATATACATTATGTCAAAAATGAAATAAAAAATAGCAATAAACAAAGATAATGAGATTGATATTATTACAACATTCCCTTTGAGCTTCCTTTTGCTTTATATACAAGGTTATGCCCAAACAGGTATACAGATGATAAAATTGATATACACAGATGATAGGTGAGTAGATAGAGGGATTATAGATAGATGATTAATAGAGAGATGATAGACAGATAGATAGATAGATAGATGATAAACAGATCAAATACATCTTACACTGTGATAATTGGCTAATGACTACTTTTCATTTAATGTATTGTTCATAATTCTCCTGGTGTTCTTTATTCCTATGTTTGCCCAGGATACCTTCTATGACAATTAGTTTAAGTATTTTTCTCCCTATAACTACAGAGATCAAGCCAGAAACATTAAGAATAACCGTCAGCCAAAGTCCTAACAGGAACTAGAGAATAAATAATCCCTCTTTCTTATTCCTCACAAGAGAGGTTTCCAAGTTACTGTGAACCCCATTCCAAGGTTCCTAGTTCACCTCATGTCTCCCAAAGTAGAAACCTGCTCAGAGACAGGTTCTAGATAGTGCTTTTCTTTTCCTGCCTTAATCAAAATTGACCCACTCTCTAACTGGCACAGTAAACTCCTTGCAGCAGGGATCTTTTGTCTGGTGGAATTTATTGTCATAGAAGACAAGAATACACACATACATATGTGTGTATGTATCCTAAGTTTTCAGTAACCATTCCTTTTAATACTTCCTCTAAATGATTTTTCTTGAAATTCATTATAATATGACTAAACCATTTTTTTTTGCGTTTCTGTAAATGTGCACACTACCCTCACAAAATTTAATAATTACATATAGTTCTGCCATATTATTAATTTCATTTTATCATTATTGAAAAAAATCTGCCACTTGACTAATTCTTAATTAACTCTTCCTTTAGAGTTAATTCTGACTTCTATGAGAGGGACTGTATTTTTCACTTGTTACAGTTTCACTTTGTGTGTCTAGAGAATGTACTTGTCTGGTTTAATACGCTCCTGAAAGTGGGATGCCTAAATCCCCAGCCTGTAAGCAGGGGTAGATCGGCCAGACAGAAACTTAACAGAGAAATAAGGAAACTAACAGATATTATCACTCAAATGGACATAACAGACATCTATAGACTATGATATCTTTTCAGCATCTCATGGAACCTTCTCAAAAAATAGACCACATTCTTGGTAACAAAGCAAACCTCAACAGATTAAAAAAAAAATTGGAATAACCCTCTGTAACCTATCAGATCATCACAGCTTAAAGTTAGAATTCAACAGCAACATAAATTTCAGAAAGCCCACAAACAAATCAAAGATCAACTGAACTGCCACTGAGTCAAGAAATAAATTAAAGGCTTCCTAAAAATTAATGAAAAGACCATACAGCATGCTCCAAATTATGGGACACAATAAAAGCAGTGCTAAGAGAAAAGTTCATAGCACTAAATGCCTACATAAAGAAGCATTGTCCCACACTAGTGAATTAACAGAACAATAAAAAGTGCTAGAACAAAAAGAATCTAACTCACCCAGAAGGAGTAGACAATAAGAAACAGTCAAATTAAGGGATGAAATCAATAAAATAGAAACAAAGAAAGCAATGCAAAGAATCAATGAGACAGAGTAGGTTCTTTGGAAAAATTAACAAAATAGACAAACCTTTATCCAAAAATTCTACCAGTTAACTCTTAAAACTGATAAACATTTGCAGTAATGTAGCAGGATAAAAGGTTAACTAAAAATAAATAAATAGATAAATAAATAATTAAATCAGTAGCCCTACTATATACAGATGATAAGTGGACTAAGAAAGAAATCAGAGAAACATCACCCTTTAGAATAGCTACAAATAACATAAAATACCTAGAGGTAACTTTAAGCAAACAAGTGAAAGACCTGTATGACCAGATCTTTGAATCTTTAAAGAAGATATCAGAAAATGGAAAGATCCCCCACATTCTTGGGTAGGTAGGATCAACCTAGTAAAATTGTCAATATATACAAAACTAAGATTCAATGCCATCCCCACCAAAATCCCAGCACAATTCTTCACAGACCTTGAAAGAACAATACTCAACTTCATATAGAAAAACAAAAAACTCAGGATAGCCAAACCAAACCAGTATAATAAAGGATCATCTGGGGACATCACCATCCATGACTTCAAGCTCTACTATAGAACTGTAGTAATAAGACTGACACACTGCTTACTATACTAAGGAGATACCTCGAGCTATAGTAATGAAAACAGTTTTGGTACTGGCATAAAAACAGACAGGTAGACCAATGGAATCAAGTCAAACATGCTGATATCAACCCACATAGCTATGAACACCTAACATTTGACAAAAAAAGATAAAAAAATATAAAATGGAAAAAAAGAAAGCATCTGGCTTTCATCATGTAGAAGGATGCAAATTAGATCCATATCTATTGCCATGCACAATAGTCAAGTCCAAATGGATCAAAGAGCTCAATATAAATCCATTCACACTGAACCTCATAAAAGAGAAAGTGGGAAATACACTTGAACACATAGGCACAGGAGACCACTTCCTAAATAGAACACCAATAGCACAGACACTGTGAGCAACAGTTAATAAATGGGACCTCTTGAAACTGAGAAGCTTTTATAAAGCAAGATACTGTCAACAAGACAAAATGGCTCCGTACAGAATGGGAAAAGATCCCCACCAGCCCCACATCTGACAGAGGGTTGATCTCCAAAATATACAATGAACTCGAGAAACTAGACATTCAACTACTAAATAATGCAATTAAAATGGGGGAACAGATTTAAACAGAGAATTCTCAACAGAACAATCTCAAATGGAGGAAAGACACTTAAAGAAATGCTCAACATCCTTAGTCATCAGGTAAATACAAATCAAAACAACTCTGAGATTCCATTGTATACCAATCAGAATGGCTAAGATCAAAAACACCAATGAGTGACAGCTAGAGAGGAGGTGGAAAGGGGGAACACTAAGCCATTGCTGGTGGGAGTGTAAACTTTTTTAGTTGCTGTGGAAATCAGTTTGGTGAGTTCTCAGAAAATTAGGGATCAATCTACCTCAAGACCCTGCAATACCACTTTGGGCATGTACCCAAAGGAGGCTCATTCACACCACAAGAACATTTGTTCAACTATGTTCATAGCAACATTATTCATAACAATATCTTGGAAACAACCTAGATGTCCCTCAACTGAAGAATGGATAAAAAAAAAAACTGTGGCACATTTACACAATGGGGTACTATTCAGTGGTAAGAAACAACAACATCCTGCTATTTGCAGGCACATGGACAGAACTAGAAAAAAAAAGCACTAAGAGAGGTAACCTGTACTCAGAAAGACAAATACAGTATGCACTCATTCATAAGTGGATAACAGACACAAAGCAAAAGATACCCAGAGAAGCAAAAACCCTCTTCCAGAAACAGTTGGAAGCAGATGCAGAAATCCACAACTAACCATTGGGCCAAGCTCCTGGAGTACAATCAAAGTGAGGGAGGAGCAATAATATGAACAAAGGAGTCAAGGCCATGATAGGCCACAGAATCAGCTGACCCATGCTAGGAAGAGATCACTGACTCAGGTCTGACAACTGGGGAACCTGCATAAGACTGAACTAGACTTCTTTAATATAGGTGACAGTTGTGTGGCTGGGACAATTTATGTGGCCACTGGCAGTGGGTCCAAGATCTAACTTTAATGTACAAACTGACTTAGTGGAGCCCATTCTATATGAAGAGACACTTTGCTCAGCCTAAACACAGGGACATGGGATGGAGAGGTGCCCTGGTCCTGCCTCAATTAGATGATGGGACAGACTTAATAGACTTACCCTCTGCATGGACCAGATGCTAGGAGGAAGAGTGGAGGGAGTTAGAGGGAAGAAGGGAGGGGGAACTGGGATTGGAATGTAAAAAATAAATTAATTAAAAAGGAATTGCATAGGGATTAAATATCTTTTGAAAATAAACTTTCAAATAAAAAAAATGATAATGACAAAAAAAAATTCTCCTGCATTTAATTTACCCCATTTGAGATCCCAAATGTGTAAAACATATCTTCTTTAATTCAGGTATGTTAGGTCATTATTTCTTCCATCATCACTCCACTCACATCAGTTCCTTCTTTCCTCCAAATGAACCAAAGGTTGGCTTTCATTCTCTATCTTTTAATATCTTGTGTTTTAAATTTTAATTTTCTACCTACTTGAGGTATATGCATACCATGCTTTAACATACTTATCTTGAGACATCTATATATGTCTGTGTAGATAGATAGACAGACAGATGATAGATAGATAGATAGATGATAGATAGATAGATAGACAGATGATAGATAGATGATAGATAGATAGATAGATAGATAGATAGATAGATAGATAGATAGATTGATGGACATGGTGGTGCATGCCTGTGATATCAGCACTTGGAGGGTGGAGGCAGAGGGCTCAGGAACTCAAGATCATTCCCAGATACCTAGTGAGTTCAAGACTAGTCCAGACTACATAGTGCCTTATCTCAAGAAGCACACACCAGGAAAACAAAAAGATACCCAGAATAAACTAGTGATATAGTCAGGAAAATTAACAAGCCCACTATATTAAATATTATCTGTATTTCCTTGTAGGCTTTTGTGTGGTTTTTTGGTATTAAAATTACCTAAAATCTTAATTTTTTTCCAAATCACTAGTGTATATAATGGAAGATATAATAAGATTAGTGTTAGCCCTAATAGAGTACATCAAATCTAGATATATTATCCTCTATACGTATAAATTTGTACCCCTTGACTTATATTTCCCCATAATACTGCTCTTTGAATAACAGCCTACTTACTTTAATCTACATATACACACAAACAAACGCATATGTATATTTAGACTGTGCATGTAAATGGTATCACATAGTATTTTTCTTTCTGCAACTATCTTATGTCATTTCTCATAATGTTTTTTTTTTTCAATATGTTTTGTTTTCTTTTGCTGGACACTGAGCCCATGTCCTTACATATGGTAGGACACACTACCAGTGAGGAATGTCTCCAATATTAAGTGTGACTCTTTATTTATTTATGGTGCCCATTATTAATATCCAATCAACTTTTAAACCCACTCAGTATTTTGATTTCTTGAAGTTTAGTTATGAAAATGAATATTGTTTTAGAGATTTTATTAATTTTCTCACTTCTAATTTTACATTTAATCTCTATTAAATGTTTTCAAATTATACTCAGAAAGTATATAATAATTGTTATCATTTCTAAGCCCACTGTTAATTATGCTCTTAATTATTCCTCAGCTCTTTCATAAATTCTAGCAGCATCCATCTTTGACAGATGGTCCTATAAAACAAATGTTTATGATTTGTTCCTCATAATAATTTGCCAGATATCTCCAGTCTCTTTCATTTACTGGATTAGAGTAGTCTTATAACCTCACAATTTAAATTCCAAAATCTCACTCATCATTTATTATGCTCTACACAAGGTATGAGTCTGTTATTTCTGTTCCTTGAAAGACAGGTCTAGGGGATGCTATCCTTTGAGGTTTGCTTCCATGGACATGGACTTTCTGAAGACTGTCTCTTCTACCATCTTCTGGCTCTAGTCTCATCTCCTGTGCCTGTCACCAAAGACACACTGTACATCCATAACACAGAGAAGGCAAATGCAAATGCAGTGATTTGGGCAAGGGCTTTCTTCTAACTGGGCTGCTGCTCTTTAGTATTCTTTGGTATCTCATACCTCTCCCATCACATGACTACTTTTTATTTATTTATTTATTTATTTTGTTACTATGCAATACAGATGCTGAATACAATAACACACCAGTCTCTGCTCTGGCTTAGATGAGCCTCAGCTCCCCCAGTTAACTTGCAGGCTTCCTCAATTCAAGTATTTGGAGAGGAGCCATCATAATGTAATAGAATATTGGAATTTTTAGTTGACAGTGGTCACGTTGGTAGAAATGGAATTCACTCGCATTTGGTTTATATTTTTAAGAGAGGCAACACTAATTATAAACAAATAAATTTTCAACATTAGTCAAAGCACACCATCACATGAACATAATTATTTAAGCACACAAGTGCTAGAAAATGATATTTACTTGGAGTTTTCAAGATTTTTTCCCCTCAATTTAAGTTTGAAATAAGTTACCTTTGAATGGTGATGGGGTCTTATTAAGAAAATGACATTTTGTTGTTCGCACAGGAAATGGTTTTCCCACATCAAACTTTCTGACCAACTTTGACACAGTGTCCCAGAGATGTACATACTCCTTCATGATGATATCTCCTACATCCAAATCCAGGCCTGGATCATAATTAAAAATACACTGTATTAAGAAACACTGTAGCATGCGTAAAAGCACACAATTTCACTAAAATCAGGTTCTGAAATATAAGGCAAACAGTGGAATTTTTAGTGGGCTTCCCACTGAATCTAAATAAAAACAAACACGGCTGTGGAAAACACCATGACACATCTTAAAACTGATCTTGCTTTTTCTCTTTGACAATTTAATATTAAAAATCAATGTCTTAATTAATGATAACACCAGTGGAAATTCAATTATTTTATGGTAATAAAATATTATACCACATATAGCTTTGAAACCAATAACACTGAATAAAATTAATGTGAAAATTAGCAAAGAATCACTTCATAAGTAGTTAATTTATTCAAATGCCTACAATATGAAGGGACCAAATACTACTCACTCAATTGCAATTCTCTCAAAATGTGTTTTCTTTTTCATTGACTATAAAAACTCAAGAAAAATTATTCTAACCAAAAAAAAAACAAATTCCACAAAGAAAGCATAGAGATAATCTCTTAGAAAAACTTAAAATCCCTAAATCACTAATAATAGTGAAATATTTATATCCATAAGAACAATTTTATAAATACACATTACATACAAAATGTCAAATACATAAACACATGATTTTAACACGAATACTTATGGAGTAATATTAATTTGAAAAATATTTTAGATTGCTATATTCACTCTGATCACCACAAATGTAAATTATAAACAATGACTGTGAAACTGAAAGTAATTACTATTGATACAATAGACAATTAAGAAATGGGTTTTGAAGCTTGAAATTTTTGTGAGCTTTCTCTCTAAAGAAAAGGTGATATGTATTGTATAGTAAGTTGATACCTTCTGCATTTTCATTTTCATAGTAAAAAGCAATATTCTTCAACAAAGGCTCATCGCTTAAATCAGAAAGGTGAAGTGAATTCAAATTCCAAAATTCAAATGTGTGCACATTACTTAGGATGAAATACTCACACCACTTTTTCTGAAAATAAAAAAAAAGTTATTGATAGCTTTCATGTCCACAATAATATGTAGAATGACTCCATACACATCTATAATCCAATGACAAGACTGTCCCAATTCTCATTAGCATATTTAGACTGAATAAGAATTATGTTGTCTTTCAAAAAGTGAAGCATCACATAAAGTAAAAACTGACACAAAAAAATGAATTTAAACTGATTGTAATTCCAGAATTTGGGAGACTAAAGCAGGAGGATGGCTGAAGTTTGAGGCCTGTCTATGTTCCACAGTCTCAGACTTACCTGGCCTACACAGTGAGACCTTATTTTTACCATGAGTTAAGAAATATATGTAGTAACTATTGATTATCTGCTCTCATTGTGACCAAAAATCTCAAAAACTACATATTTCTTTATCTTTTGAATGTGCTAATGTTCTTTACTTAGGTTCTCTTGTTTACTTTTGGGTTGTCAGATGTTGGGCTGCTAAGCATTCTAGGAAGAAGAAAATGTTTCCCATCCTTCTATACTCATAGGTCTCTACCAACTTAAGGTTGTTCAGTGATGTTCTATTGAAACAACAGTGAAATAAAAGCACAAACAGTGCTCTATTGAAATACTGGCAGAATGTCTGCACAAACATTACTTACGTCTGGCCACAGTAGACCTGAGTCTTGATCAGTGATGTGTGTTGATATCTTGGCATTATGTTTTCCTTATAGTGGGAGAGGTCAGCATAATGTCAACATATCACAGAGAAGTTCCATAGAGCTCGGACCACAATGAAACAACTGGCTACCAGCACCTCAGCTTTTTCAGGTCCCCCTCAAAGATGGTCAGCACCCCCTAAGTCAGCTGGAAGCAGTCTTGAGGATTCAGCAGCCCCTCTTCCTGCCTTACCTGATACCCCACCTTTTTAATCTCCCACCTTTTAATAATAAGAAGATATAGGACTGTTGATATTCTGGCAGTATGCTGTCTCTGCCCCCTGTCAAATGGCAGGATACACACATTGGCACTGAGGCAGATACTTGGATAGCTCAAAGGCCCTACATGGCATGGCTACATCATGCCTTACAAGTGATCATCATTGCAAGTTATTTGGTACATGGTTCTACATTGTAGATAAAAGTAAGGTTTTATGTGTCAAATAGTTAAATGAATAAGTGAATGGAGAGTACATTTACCATTTTAAAGACAGTCCTGAGATCCTGAATCCAATCAGAAGTGATGAATCTTGAGCATGCTCTCTGGGACAAAGGTAGATGGAGTTGAAAAACCACACAGAGGCAGAACAGCTTACAGAAGTCTTCCATGTCTTTCAGGCTTAAATAATTACCTTTCTCCTGAAGAAAATAAAGAAAGTGAGCAGAGGGCAGAAGTCTGGGAGACTACACACTCACTCGGTGGAATCACAAACTCTGTAGCCAAGCTCTCTCTGTGTGGGAATTCCACATTTTCACATTCTTCATTTCTGAGACAATACTTACCCAGAAACTAGGCTGTACTCAAACATGTTTGACATAAGGGGAAAAGGAAGCTTCTAAATTTGCAAAAGCTGGTGTATGGACTGATTCAGTGCTTTCAGGGACTCCAGGTTTAAGTTAATAAACTAGGTGATGAAGGGGAGGTTTAATAGAACCTTGGATAGCTGAGGTTACATGCTAAATACTCTCTTCTTTCTAATCAATTGCTTGCTGTTAAAGCAATATGAAATGCCTCCATGAGGACAACAAGATATCAATGTAGCTAAAAGGTGTAACTGCACAATGGCAACAGAGAAAAATAAATAGATATATTTAGCATTATGGGGACATCGTTGCTATTGTCAAATAGTTTGGCTTATTGGGGAGCAAGAAGACTTCAGTGGGGTACTCCTAGGATTCCATAGAGGATCTAAATGGTTAGAAGTTCCTGGAAGATAATTTTAACTTACTATCATGATTTAGGGATGGTTTAAAATTAGATGTCTAATCATATAGAATGGTTTCATTAAAAATTATATTTAAGGAGACACTGCAAAGCAAGATGTTTAAAACTGGTCCTGTCCATTTTGGAAATGGGTAAAGTTAATAGGAATAACTAGCTGAGATTCTATAGTACTCAGTTTACATATAAAATTGTATTGTGCATGTTTATAGCTTTGTGTCATGAGCACATATATGCAGACATGAATGTTTAGCCATAGCCAAATCTCAACTGGCCACCAGATTCTTGGAACTTTCTGCAATAAAGAAACCTAAGTAGTTCCTCCCTAGCCAGTAAGGTACCAAAACACCACAGTATGAAAATATCTTTCAAAGTCACTGGGAAATTTGCATGAGATAAACCTGAATTCAATCTACATTGCTATTTAGCATCTTGAGTTGGAGAACTGTTACTCTCCAAAGCTGAAAGTCTGTACTTTGGTATGTAGAGTAGAAATAACAATTCCTGTCTTGCAAAGTTTTCCTGAGTATTCCATGTACCGTGGAAAAGCCCAAAACACAGTATCATAGTAGGTTGTTTCTCCCTTTACCTGCCTGTGGGTGACAGGGGCTAAATATATCCCATGTGAAACATCTGTAGAAAACACACTAAGTCATGGAGCACCATACTTCTTTATAACATGAATTGTAGGTAACTTTCCTATTTCTGAGGTTCATATAAACAAAAGAAAATACAAGTGCCATATGGAACAAATAGTAGGTGAAAATAATAAAACAGGAAAACCAAAGTGCATCCCAGGATAACAACCACACCTGTTTGACTTCAGATGTCTGCTTGGATGCTTCCTCCTCTTTGTTTTCTAAAAAACAGTGATACATTTCCAAGGAGAGGGAGCATGAAGTAACACAAAAGACTCGTCGGATGTCAGATCCTTCTGGCCAGAGTTGTGTGAGCACAGATATAGTCTCACAAGCCTGTCACAGCAGAAAATTATAACATGTCATGATAATTAGAAAACTATATTTATTCATAAGTGATTACATAGTAAGGAATGGGTGGATATGACCATATGGAAACTGTAGCTATTTCCACTAAAAGAAATTATAAAGAAAATTTTTGAGGAAACTGTTAATAAATACATGCACAGAAAAAAACAAAAAAAAAACACCAGTAAATCAACACGATAATTTGTGACTCTTTAAAATTAATTCTCTAATGAAACTTAAATAATGAGAAAATAGAAAAATGCTCATTTTCTTTAGTAATATCAATATTTGCACTTCTTACTTTTTATGATACCAAAATACTTTTTCATCATGGACTACTTCAATAACAGACATCACCAGAAATCATGTTATGTCACTCCTTATATTCTGCTAAAGAAGTTATAAACAGGCAAAGGTATATGGTAATACATGTAACTGCCATGCAATATATTGATACTTTTCATTCAAAATCTAGAGACCTAACCTGGAGCACCAACCCCAAATCTGCCCAAAGACAAGTGTGCCAAGGTGCTCATCACAGATTTATTTGTAGAAGCAAATGTTCAAAAATTTAAGTGTTCATCTTTCAAGAAATACCATATGTCCATAAAAATAATACTTTTAAGAATGTTAATGAAATTATAAAATGTGCATATAACAATTTAGAAAAGTAACAAAAGGGTCTACATCTAATATACCCTCAACATTTTAAAATACCTGGTGTCACTTAAAGAATGTAATAAAAATATGTGAGTCCTGCCCTTAAGTGCTGACATTATAAACAAGCCATACATAATAATAAGGCAATGTATTCAGAATAAGACCATCACATTCTTAAATCTAAATACCATACTTCTATTAATGAAACTTATAGATACAGTACCTTGTATCCCCATGTGAACCAAGGCACCAGATTACTCACAAGAATTTTTATGATCTTTAGACTTTATTTTATATTTTTATGGTTATTAATTTTTTTGCCTGCATATGTGCATGTATGTGTGTGTGTGTAAGTCAGTGAGCCAACTCTCTAGACCCCTAGTCTGTATTTTGTTAAAATAGATGCACATATAATTCTGTGGGTAATCTAGAAGCAACACATATCATAGCAATCAATGTTCTAAAAGAATTGTGTGCTTTTATAGGTATTTTGCATAAAATCTCCTTCTTCGTCAGTTAAAAAAGAAAATAGCAGTAGCAAGAAACAACAATGATGAAATGTGTAAAAGGAAATAACCTACTCCATCTTGAGTATATGTCAAGCTCCCAGTCATACTTGTGACACCTTAAGAGTTTGTGGGGACCAAAGAGAGAGTCTAAAATTTTAAAAGGAATACAAAGGATTGAGATTATTAAAGAGTGAATTAAAACAATCATAAGAAATACTGAATGTGCTCTAGATACGCAAATGCCATTTTAAAGTAATCTTTTAGCCTGAATTTTTAAATTTTCTTTGTTATTTTTTTTAAGCTTTATTCATTTTACTTTAAGGTGTGAGTATACTGCCTGCACATAAAATTGTAGCTCATATGTGCTTGGTGCTCAGAGATGTCAGAAAAGGGAATGGGATCCCCTAAGACTGGAGTTATGGTTAGTCATAAGCCATCATGTGAGCTCTAGGCTGCAAATCCAGGCCCTCCTCAAGAGCAGCTAATGCTCTTAACCACCATCCCATCATTCCTGCCCAAATTTTCAATTTTCTATTAAGTCATTCACATGAAAAAAAGAAATGCAGATTGAAGTTTGTAACACTAGTACTAGAAACCCAAGACAGATACTGGGGTTCAAGCTGAAGATCAGAAAAACAAACAGCCGCCAGTAGCTCTTAATTCTACCAAGCTGAAATGGAGATCATGTCTTCCATGGGACTGGAATCTAAATCTCACATGAGGTGCTTTGCATCTTCCTTATATACTCTCTAGTGCTGGGATTACAGTTTAGAGCTCTGTTAAACTTTTAGACTGATCCACTCTTATGTAGCCCTGGGTGGCTTTGAACTCAGAAATATTCATCTGCATCTGTCTCCTGGGTTCTGGGATTAAAGGTATAGGCCACCACTGCCCAGATTCTATGGTTAACTAGTGTGACTGGTTTAATTTCTGATCCTCAGGCAAGCTTTGTTAAATCATAAATAATATCTCACCAAAGGAGTTATATAATTTCTTTAAAATCACTAAGTATGATAATCCATGAAATAATTAAAAATTGCTATCTCTATATCAAAATCTATGTCATGCAATGAAACAAATATTCAGAGAAAAATGTATTACACTAAGCAGTATTTAACACTGAAAATGAGAAAATAGATCCATTAAATGTTCTTCTCAAATAAAAGGTAAAAAGAAACAAGAAAATCAAAAGGAAGAAAAAGATTAAATCATAGCCTAAGAGAATAAAATTCTGTATATCTAATCAATAATTCCAAATTTAAGCTGAAATTAGACAAACATTATTAAACTAATAAGAGAAATCATGAATGTACTAAAAATAAAGGAGAATATGACACTGAGACAGAAACCATTTTTTTAAGGTCTACTTTAGAAATGTTTATGGAAACAAACTTGAAAAAATCAAATTGCTAATTTCCCAGAACAAATTATAAAATTGATTCTCTTTGTATTAACAAGTTTAAGTACATCAATAACCATGATGTGGGTAAAATGACTAAGAAACCATCCTGACAAATAGACACCAAGCTTCAACCAGAGAATCCCACCAAGTTTTCAGAGACTGGATAATCCATCTGAGCTAGGCAATATTTCAGAATATTAAAAAGAAAATGTGAGCATCATTTTCTAATAAATACATAAAAGCTTACAAATAAGTGTAAGACAAGACAAAAGCTTAAAATCACATTAAAGTATCACAGATACCAACCAATGCAGAAATTCAACAGGAAATACAGCAAACAGAACCCAAGACCATATTAATGAAACAGTACTTCATGATGAAGTATATGTATGTCAGTAACACATTGTTGGAAAATGTGTCAATGCAACATGACAGCAGTGAAACTGAGATATATTTACACTACTGTGTTCATGTTATAAACAACTGGAGAAGCTCAGTGTCATCTTCTTCACATCAGAGACTAAACACATCTGTATCTTAGTCCTACTTGACAGGGGCAAACAGAGACATTTCTACTCAGACCAGAAAAAAAAGGAGAAAGTTGTCTAGTGTCTCTCCTACTCTAAATCGCTAGCAGTGATACACAAGGTTATAGATACACGCCCACACATTTTTTAAAAACATAGTTCAACTAAAAAGTAATTTTTTCAAGTTCTATTACCTTTCCCACCATATTATTGAATTTTAAATCTCCAAACAGAGTTGTTAAATCCAATTCTCTATGTCTTTCCAACTGCTGAATCAGGCTTTTGTAAGCAATTGTAATTTCCCTCATATTCTACAAAACAAAGTGTGATAAAACGTTATAAGACTATTGTTCCCTAAGTACAAAAGCTCAGAAATTTAAAAAAACAATCATATTACAATCCAGTCCTCAGTTTATAATCTACTCTAATGTAATTGAAGGTGGTCAGCAATGTTTGGAACAACCCCCCCCCCCCGACATCTCATCTGACGATGCACCACCTTATTTTAACAGGTTCACAAAGTTACACATAATATAAACTCAGCATGTTTCACTATGACACATTTCAACCAAGCACCTAAAGAGACTAGAATCTCCTCCCGATGGGTATCGATGGTACTAGAAACAGCCATTGCCAACAAACTCAATGGCATTTCCACTCCTCTACAAATGGAGTCATAAGATGTATTTTATTGTATTTCAAATTCTAAATAGTCCTCAAATAATCCATTAATGTAAAAAAAATAGCTTCTTTAAGGTGAGTTTTAACAAATTAGGACATAAATCATTTTATAAGTAAAATTTTCCATTAAAGTTTATTCCAGGCAGGATGTTTGCAAGATTTCTCAGAACTCAGATTCAGAAACTGCTATCAACAGAATACAACCAACTCAGGCTGGGTATGGTGGCACATGCCTTTAATCCCACCATCCAGTGGTAAAGAGGAAAGGGTAGCTTTGTGAGTTCCAAGTCAGCCTGAGCTACACAGTAAGACCCTGTCTACAAAAAAGAAAAAGAATCACAACATAAACTTATTATTTAATATTTACCCTGCTCATAAAAATAAAGCCCAGGCCTGTTTCTACTCAGAGTTGACAGTCAGAGTTAGGAATACTTTAATGGTAAGAATCCTAGTAAAAGCAAAATAAACTACCCTGCCATGTCATAACAACTATTTATGTGTATGAAAATGTGCAATGATGGGGAAGCATAATGCAATTCTCAACGAGGGACACATTAACTGGTTCTAAACCTACTTTGATAAGCTATGGAATGATATTCATATGCAGAATTCACTAGTAAAAAATAAGCAAACTCTTTATAAAGTTGGTACAGTACACATGCTTTACTCGGAAATTTCAACAAATTAGCTCTTGAATATACCAATATATGGTAAAATAATGTCATCATGGAACTTGAATCCTGATTGAAGGGTCAATGAGTTATCAGCTGAAGTTATTTATGAAGACATAAATCCATCACATTCTCTTCTTCCGTTAACCTGTTCTGGTGAGTTCTCATAAAGGCAACCTCTAATCTGTCGTTTCACTAATAGATCTCAGCAACAGAGACATACCTTTGCCTCTGAGCTCATGTTTTTCTGGCCTTTGTTAGCTTGGACTTCACATGCCACACAATGTTTGAGGACATAGGGGACACAGTAATACTGCTCCTCATAAATTCTACTCATTTAAGTAGTGTTTTTTAACAGGATACCTAGTCAAATATCTATTTCATCATCTTCAAATATAGACAATTCTTATGCCTCCTTCATGGGACTTTTGTGAATATTAAATCAAATAATTTATTAGTGTTATGAACTCTTATACAATAAGAAGTAATTAGAAAATTGCTACATATTATCACTATTAATTCATTATCATTATTATTAACCTATATATCATCCTATTAAATCTATAATAGTTTCTATATTGAGAATAGAGTCAGTATTGAATCAAGATAGTGATTTTAAAAAGCTTTATTTCATTTTTAGTTTAGTTTGTATGTATGTATTTATGTGTGTCTGTCTGTCTATATACATGTATGTGTATATGTATGTATTATGTGCTTGTAAGTGTGGTATACATAGAGGCCAAAGGTGTCAAATCCCTTTGGAGCTGAAGTTACAGGCAGTTATGAACTTCCCAACGTGGGTACAAGGGTAGTAAACACTCTTAATCACTGAGCCTTATCTCCTGAATTAATGTAGAAATGCTTATAAAATTCTAGAACATTGTCCTTTAGATATACATTACCTGCATGAAAAACAACTTCTTTGAATGTGAGCTTTGCATAAAATATGCATAAAGACGGAGGATGTCAGATGTTTGCCCTGAGAAGAGAACTATGTTGACTTTTGCTGCCCAAGCCTGGATAACTACAAAGTTGAAAAGGTATGTCTGCTGGTTGTTCAGACCTTCATCTGCAAGAATCAAGAAATAGGGGCAACTTTGATCCAAGAAAATTTTCCACTCTTTTGACAAACATCCAGAAAATTTAGTCCAAACATCAATGGAGGTATTTTTCTGAAGGTGCAGAATTAAAGCCGTTCTCAGTGTAAGAAGGTCAGGGACTTTGAAGTATGCATACTCAGCATCCTATAGAGCAGGGGATAAAGTATATTATTTGAAAATTATCACTTAGTGTTTTACTAGTTTGGGCAGTTAACACATATCTTTAAGGTCACTGAAGGAATATGATACATCAGGGTTTGTTTTTTATTTTTGCTTTTGCTTTTCTGTCCTATAGTCAATAAATTGATCCTGGAAGTTTGCTGTATCAAAAAATGTGTGCTATAGATCACACTTTGGATCTAAGAGTAAGAAAACCCATAGCAGTCAGACTTCATCACTTGTACTACCCAGAGTTAATTACACTTTGCCTTCCTGTTTTCTGATCATTCTGCTGTTCAACCTCACCTGGAGAAGACAATGGACAGAAAAAAAAAGATGAAAATACTAATTTGTAATTATAAATTTTCTGGAATTAGGAGCTGAAAGGGTAACAGACTATTCTAGAGAATAATTCCAGACTGTAGTAACATTTCTTAAACAGCATGAGTTCTTCTCAGTAGACCAAAATCTTGTCAAAGTTTTATTAATTACACCAAATATGATGTTCTTTCATTGTTATTTATAACAAAGCACACAACAGCAAAATAGGGTTACTGAGTTAATGTGGGCTCAGACTCATCTAACAAAGGACTCAAATAAGTTGCCTGCTGACTTTTGAAGGCAAAGTAGTTCTCAGAGTTGGAAGACTAGAATTGAGGTCAGTGGGTCCACTGTTGAAAATTTCACCAACTGTTGTGACTCTATCTGACCAGTAAAGTTCTCCATCTTTACACATTACAAAATAACCTAATTATATTAATTCCTGAACACTGCAGGAATAAACATATTTTTGTTTTGTTTTTCTCTTCTTCCCTTTAAATTTTATGCCTTTTTGTTTTGTGATTTTTTTTTGTTTTATTTTGTTTATTTTTTGAACTGCAGATTGGACACCCAGCTTTGCATGCACTAGGCTTGTCTTCTACCACTAAAATGCATTTCTAGATTTTTTTTCTTTTAAGAAGGTCTTTCCAGGTTGGGAAGACTACTCATCAACTCATTTTGTGAGGCTCAGGTAGACTCCAACTTCCATCCTTAGCTTCTGTCTCATTTTATGAACTTTTAAAAATATATTTTGCTTTTCAATCAATGGCAAAAATGTTTATAAAAATAATTTTAGTTATAGCAAGATATGGTAGCACACACCTGAAATCCTTTCACTTGGGAGGCAGAGGCAAGAGGATCATGAGTCCAAGGCCAGCCTCAGCTATAAGATTCCTTGTCTCTAATTATTGCAATGAATTCTGGTTTCAATCTTCATAGAATGGGAAGCTCTGGTGGTCTGTGTTACCTTGAAAAAAACTATGGCGAATTGTCCTCCTTTGCTAATAACATCCAATAGGTAGCGCTCAACCAAGTAGAAGAAATGGAGACTCTGTCCTGGCTTAAGTGATTCCTCACATACACATGTGACAAACAAGGAGTCTCCATCAATCAGGAAAAATTCAGATTCCACAAAATCATTGAACAAGCTGGAATAGCTAAAAAAAAAAAAAAAAAAAGAGTATTAAAACAAAATTCATATAGATGACATAACAACAGTAGTACAGTAGTGTTGTTATTATTTCATTGTCATTAATAGCCTAAGTGGCTGGATACATAGTTGCATAATTATATATACTTGTATCATGTAGGTATTATACATACATACATACATACATACACACAGACACAGACACACATACACACACACACACACTGAGACACATGCAGGTACAGATCAACATTACCATATAAGGTTAAATAGCTCTTCCGGAAAAGGGAAATATTGCACATGATTTTAAAATTCCTGATTACCACAAAAAATACTTACTCAGCCTTTGGCATATTTTTCAAGATTAATTGTGACATTTTCTCTAAAACTATCATGGGACGTTCTAAAATGGGATAGAAGAGAGATTTTTTTTTAGTCAGCTTTTTAAGGGAGTGCAAGGTTACTATTTGAGAAATAAACAGTAGTGCAGTTATTTTAACTGTTTAATCTGTGAAGCATATATTTCATAATGCTATAAATATTATTTTGAATTGAAAATTACCCATTCTCGATGCCATCTGTGCCTCCAACCTAAATTGGAAAATATTAAAAATGCAAGTATCATTCACTCTGTTTCCTCTAAATGGTCATTATACATGAGATGGTAAATCTGCAAAGAAAAAGAAAAAAGCTGATCAACTTTCCTATCAGCAAAAATGTCCTGAATGACTGTCTTTCCAACAAAACATTGGGTTGCAGCAATATAAGAATGAGCTCATGTGTAGACTGTTCTCAAGGAACAAAAATCAGGAAAATACCCATTAATCATATAACCTCATATGTACAATAGAAAAATCACAGATGTGACCAAGTCAAAGAGATGAGCCATTCCCTAAAGAAGCAATGTCCAAGAAAAGTTCTAAAGAATTAAAAAACAAAAAAACAAAACAAAAACAAACAGCAACAAAATTATAAGGCAGAGAAGAGCAGAATATCATCATATATAACACGTAATGGTCTGTGGCATGAAGGAATGAAGGTGGAACCAGATTACAAAAGGAAGCCAGGAGGCTGGAGTGGAAAGTGGGAGAAAGTGTTTGATGTTCTGGTGAGGGTTTGAGACATATACAGGTCCCTTGAGTATGTGTCATAGTGAGCTACTAAGGATTTTAAGGACATACCACGACTTTGCATTTTGAGAAGATTACTCAGCATAGTACAGTGGTTGGGAGCAAATTTCTTGTCAGCAAACAGAGAGAAACTTGTTGAGCAAAGAAAGGATGGCAGCTTGATGAAATCACAGTTTAATGGGAGTTCGAGGTAATAACCCTTCAAAAGTGTGGGTTTATTTGATGGATGTTAAAAGGTGAATATGACATCATTTGACAACAAATCCAATATAACTAGAGAAGAACAGCAAAGTGAGCTGTCAAGGGAGACTCTGAATATTCTAATTCAGGTATGAGAGATGTTTACATATGTAAGAGCGCTTGCTATGAAAGCAGGAGGGACTGAGTTCAAATCTCTGGCACACATGGGAAAACACACACATGGCTGCATATTTCTGTAACTGGCATTAGGGAATAGAGACAGGCAAGACCATGATTCTCAATAAACATTTTTTTCATAGGTTAAGGACATAGCTCATTGATAGAGCACTTGCCTGCCATGTGTGATACCTTGGGTTCAATCCTCAATACCATAAGTAGAAAATATCAAGCAATAAAATGAGCCTGCTATAATGTCCAGATGTTAATCTTGTTGATACCACATTCAGGTTGCTGTTACCACAGCAGAAAAGTTGCATGTGTAAGTTAGGCTTCATTAAGAGAGATGGTGATATGAGGAGAAAGACCTTAGGAGATCGTCCTAAAAGAAATCTGCCTTCTATCTCATCTCTGACCAGCAGGCCTTATAGCAAGAGCTAAAGAAGATGATCATCCCAGAGCTCAGGATGTCACTCTGCCTCAGAAATCAACCACACTTCTGAGACTTGTGTCATGTGTGATTCTCTAGTTAACATCATTTCTCTTGCATTGTTCTCTGACTGTTGGAGTTCAGTATCAATCCTGCCCTCTTCCAAACATTACCTGAAAAACATAGTCAACTCAGGACAAGTAAGATGTAGCAGGGCATGTGAACTAAGCTGGTAATAATGTGTATATAGAATTGCTTTCTGGAATATGGAGTTAAAAGGTACCTCCAGGAAGAAGAAAGTGCATGTATACTTTCACATGTGTCCTAACATTCTCCACTGTGAGCAATGACACCTGTATCTGTCCACAAATGTCCTTTATTCTCCACTGTAAGCAATGACACTTGAATCCAGTTTTCCTGATAACAATAATACTCCCATGGGGACTCTAAGAACTAGAAGCCAGGAGATACAAGATTGACTGAAATTTAAAAGACTCTCTCTTTACTTTGTACCAGAAAAAATATTATGAATTATCTTGATGTACGGCTATCTCTAAAGCCAGATCCTGTGAAAACTTTTTTCCTCTCCTGCCAAGGGCAAGTTTGTTAAAATTCCTATTCTGACAATCCCTGTGTCCCTGTCTTTGTCTCTGAACAATTTTCCCTGAAGATATTGCTGATTAGCCATCTGGAGTTTCATCCCTGCTGCTCCTGATACAGCAGTGACATCTGCCCTGGTTTGTTGACCTAACACCACTTTGGGAGCTGGGAAAGATGACTATGGATGTTGAAAAGTTAGTACTAATGAAACCCCTTTTCTTTTTTCAAATTTCAACAGTTAAAAGGTGCAGATGGCTCTTCAGCTATCCACCTGGACTACACTCCCAAGTTTAATTCTATCTGTCCTATGAATGATGACCTAGCATCTTCCAAGTGTAGCCCAGGTTCTTCTCATAGGGGCAGATATCAGTAGAAAGTCAATAGACAATAAAATCAAGTATTTTATATAAAGTAGTTTGGAAAAGAAATACTCAAAAAACAAAACAAGAAAAAGAGAGAGAGAGAAATACTCAGTAGTATTATAGTTGTTTGTTTACATATAGTCACATTTATTTATTTATATGTGGTTATTATTTATTGATTTGTTTATATGTAGTAATGACCAAAACTATGTATGACAAAAGAATTGGACCAGCCATTAGGGTCTTACAAGAAGCTTGGAAAGTGGAAAAGCAATACAGTTGTCTTTGGCTAAAATCACACCAAAATAGTTGCTTTAAAAATGGCATTTAAGAGATGTTTTAAATTTTTATTGAATTTTATTTCTTTGAGTATATGCACATATGTTTACATATAAATGTGATATCAGAGGACAATGTCTACAGTCAGCTATCACCTTCCACCAAGTGGGTACTAAGATGGAGCTCAGGTTCTCTGACTTGGTAGCTAGTGTCCTTATCTGCTGAGCCATTTCATTGGCTCCATTCAAAAGATTTTTAAAACAGATACTTAAATAAACTTGACTTCTTTAAAGTTACTTTCCTAAAATGCCTGACAACAAAAACATAAATATTCATCCTGATTAACCATAAAATCTGATTTGTTTGAAACCACATGTTAGCAGAGAAGATCAAGAACTTAACCTAATTTTTAAAAGAAAATTGGTTTTGAGTTTTATAAGAATGAACTAAAATTTGACCGTAGGTATTTTATATATGGATACTTTATTGACTTCATTATCCCCCTCCCTCTCCTTCCTCCAATTCCTCCTCTGTCCCCTCCACTTACTCCCTTATTCTTTAATTATAATTGTTACATATCTGCATATAAGTTTATAATACTGCTAATAAATAACCTTCAATAATCACTACATACATCCTGTGATTCATCCTCCACAAAGCCTTTGCAACTTATTTGGTTCTCCTGTAAAGTCAAGAGAACCTCCTAACACTGTCTTCATCTCTCTTCTTCCATCTTAGAATAATCTAGTCTTTACCTAAGGACAAATTCATAGTTTACTCTGTGACAAAATACTTCTTTCTTAAGAAATCTTCTTTCATTTTGACCTATTTTTTAAATGAAAAGTGTACCCTCCTCACATTCCATCCTCTCTTTCCTACTTAATTCTTTTCTAATTTACTTCCTAATGAGAAAGAACAACATAACAAGCAAATTTATAAAATGTATCAAGGTAGAAGTGAATCTAAATTTCACTTACAGTGTAATGCCGCAAATTAAGACTCTCTGTTCATAGTCAGTAGCACTCCAAGGCTATTCTTGCCCCTAGGAAGAACTCTGGGGAGTTAAGACTCTTACACTTTTCATTACTCCAGGTATCACATGAGTCTGAGGGTTATGGAATGTTGCATTCCAGCAAGAGCAGACTGAGATAACAAAGCTACTGATGATCTTGTACAGGCAAGAAGGGAGAAGGGAGAGAGAGATACAGAGAACTAAAAATACTTTTATGTTAACCCTGTAATTGCAACTTGTGATACAAAAGGTGTCTGTTTCTCTGAAGACCTGGAGGAAACAGCAGACTATTTTCTGGACCAAAGAAAAAGAGTTTCCAGTAGTACAAGATGGGCAGGAAGCTAACTGTTGTGTCTAGTGATGGCAGACTAAATCTGAAGCATTGGTATATTGATTTAAAAAAAATTATATACACAGCTATGCTGGCCAGGAAGGCAGCAACTAAATCTTCAGATCTACATTCTCTCTCCTCTGCTCCAAATTCAATCCCCCAGTCTCATGCCCAACTTTGTAGCAGGTTTTTATAACATATCCTGCTTTCCTCCAACCAGTGAACCCCATTATCCCACTCCCCAGCCCATTTTCATCCTTAAGTGTCAGCTCCCAGCACCAAGAAACACATCCTAACTTGAACTCCTAGTCGCCACACCAGGCAGGATCTCAGAAGTGTTTCTTACCAGTCAGCATGCAGCCACCACACAAACAGGGCAGCAGAATACAAAGTCAAGACCAGATATCAGTACCTACAATTAAAATCGCCTAGAAACCAGTGTAAAAACACAATCAATCACAGCCAGGACAATATGTCTCCACTAATGTCTAGCAACCCTACCACAGTAGGGTTCTAAGAAATGCAATATAGCTAAAGCACAAGGACTTAAAAATAGAACTTATGAATATGTTAGAGATTCTTAAAGAGGAAATGAATAGCTTGATTAAAGAAACCTATGAAAACACAGTCAGTGAAAGGAAATAGAGAAAACAGTTCAAGACATTCAAGTGGAAATAAAATTAATAAGGAAAACTCAAAAATGAGGAAAGACTGGAACTGAAAAAATACAGGAACTCAAATAGGAATCTCTGAGGCAAGCCTCACCAACAGAATACAAGAGATGGAAAAGAGAATCTGCCATTTAAAATATGACAGAAAAAAATGGACACTCGGTCAAAGAAAATGTTAAATCTAGAAGAATCTGGCTTAAAACATCCAGGAGTCTGGAACACTATGACAAGTCAAAATATATGAATAAGAATAGAAGAAGGAGAGGAAATATGATATGGAATGTCCTTCTGTATACTACAAATATGTGTTGTGTTGCTTTTATTGGTTGGTGAATAAAGCTGTTTTAGTCAGTAGCTAATCAGAGTACAGCCACATGGAAAACCCAAACAAAGATAGTGAGAGTAAGAAGGCAGAGGCAAGAGACACCATGTAGATCCCAGGGAAGCAAGTTGCCAGGGTGTTGCCAGTGAGCCACAGCCACATGGTGATACACAGAGTAGTAAAAACAAGTCAATTTA